TGAGTGGGGCGGAGATTAAAAGTAGACTAGGTTGTCTAACAGAATGCAATCTATGTCCAAATTATATAGAAGTTATATTTGCCAAATATTATTGAAATCTGTTCAGCGATTTAAGCGTGAAAAGATAATAAATAGAGTAACTTTCACATCTATAGGTATATATTTAAAACAAAGTCGGGTTTGTTTCAACACTTATAACTCGAGAACTGCTGGACCGATTTTCATGGCTTTTGATTTGTCGGATTTGTCTTCAACCCGAATAGCAAAATAATTATTAAAATATCGGAAAAATTCACGAAAAAAAAAAACATTATAATTTACACAGCTAATAATGCTAGCTTATAATATTAGTGTATATAATAGATAGTAACAGATAGAGTGATTCAAGAGGAAGGTTTATATGTATAATATTTGTATTTCATACTAACCGTTAAGACGTACCCAGGGATGAACCCAAGCGAAGCGAGGGTGCGTCGCAAGTCTATCTATAATTAACACAATTGTAAAAATTTACAGATGAGTAACATATGATTTAGTATCGAACATTACCAAAAACTTTATTGCAATATAATTTATGAGACCTACTTTTTTACGTACAAACATATTTTTACGATTCTTTGTTAATAAATTTTATTGTTTCGAACACATAAAAGGGGTTACCCTTAGTTATAGGTCTGATGAGCGCAGCAGGATCATCCAATAGACCGCACGCGGTGTCTTACTTGATAGCTTTATTGTTGGACCAGTTATACTTTATTCAACTAATTAATGAAACAAAAACACTTAGGGGTTGCTTCACTATTTATGTACCTATATAATATAATATATAAATTGGCTAAGACAAAACTTTTTTAGTTTTAATACCTCCTTTGACAAACAGTGTCAACCGATTTTCTTTTTTTTGTTTAGTAGGTATTGACGAGCTTTAGTGGTATCAATATTTTTTTTTACATTTTTTTTAAATAGGTAGGTAAATTCTATTTATTTATGTTTTCATCAAATTTTCGAGTTTCAAATACTGGACAAATACTAGAATTTTTAAAGAGCTGAGAGCTGTGTGTAAAAACACACCAAAATGACACTAAATATATGTGATTATTATAAGTTCCATGTTTATATTCTCTTCTTGTCTTTTTTGTTTTTTTTTTTAGGTATATTTATTTATAGCTGAAAGTCTGATCGAAATAACGAATTTGTTTTCAATTCAATTCAAATTCAGTGAAAGTTGCCGAAGCGATTCTTCTTACATATTAGTGATTCTTCTTACATTTGACACAGCAATGAAATTTTTAAACGTTTAAAACTTCATTTTATTTAAATTTTTATGCATTTATAAAAATATACATTATGATCATTTCGCTGCACGAAGTTCAAAATAATAATTAATTATTAATATTTTCAGCAGTTCTTATCTAACAAATCAAACCCTCAACCGGCAACGACAACGTAACGCAGTGATGATTATATTTTATTTACCTAAAAAAATCATAATATAAATACCTACTTATAAATAGATAATATTGCTATACGGTCCTTCTGAAAAAAACCATTTTAACAAGCTAGTTATTAAATAAATGTAAAAGACTGACTTAGTACATAAAAATATAATGGAAATAAAGAATATACGAACCTTAATTCAGATGAGATCTAAAGAAAAAAGTTACAGAGCGTACCAAAGGAATATACATTATACAAACCCATATTTGTACTAATAATATCATTATATTTAAAGTTGAAGAGTTTATTTACTTGTTTGAACGTGCTTGTATGTGGGATATCTACTACCAGTTTACTTATTAAGGAGGTTAAAATCTAGATAGATTTTAATCAAGCTTTTTATATCAAGCTTTGGCTTTATTTTTCAAGTAATTACAAATAAACTACATAGAAAGTTAATTACTATAATTATGTATTATCATTACACATTTATGACGAACTAGTGCTTACTAGCGCGTCGATTAGTTTTGTAGAATTAGTCCAATCTCATTGATCGTAGCGTGAAGTAAGCTAGCCTCAATGAATCTCACTAATATTATAAATGTGAAAATTTAGATGTTTGGATGGATGTTTGTTACTCAATCTCGCCAGAATGGCTAAACGGATCTGGATGAAATTTGGCACAGAGACAGATTATAGTCTGGAATAATATTAGTGCTTTTTATCTTAGAAAAATGTACGGTTTCCGTGGGATAGATTTGTTTTTGTTTTACTAGACGCAAACCCGACCGGAGCGAGACTGAGCGGATATAAAATTATTAATATACAACACCGTTTTTATTAACGATTATTACGGAATAGAAAGATATATATAGTCATATATACCGTAATATGTAGGTATGATGAGTTTCATGTAGGTATCGCTTACTTGAAAAATGATTGATTCCTCATACAAATTTCCACCCCTCTTTTCACCCTCTTAAGAGATGACTTTCGGGATAAAAACTATCCTATGTCCTTCCTAGGGTCTCAAACTATCTCCATAGTAAATTTATCTATATTGGTTCTGCGGATTAAGTGATAAAGAAACAGACAGACTTATTTTCGCATTTATAATATTATAATATAGATGTATAAAACGCAAAAAGAACTTTTCAAATCGCGCGTTCAAACAAACAAACACACTCTACAGTTTTGTTTATTAGTATGGATTAACAAATTGTATTCTGGCTTTCTACTAATGCTCTACTCATGATATTATATAACCAATTTTCTAAGCAAATTCATTATTCAGCAAAAGTAAATATTCCAGTAACCTAGCTAACCGCAACGAGTACGTGCTACCGGGCTCTGTAAGAACGATTTATCTCAAGCGAACGTTTGAAACTGACGGGACAGACACACAGCCATTAGTTATAGTAGAGAATAGATACAATGACGTTGACGACTTAAACTTCTTCCACGTCACTATGAGAAATTAATTGGCGAGTTCAGTGAACTGGGTTGGAAACTACAAAGTGTTTTACTTTTTCACTGACTTACAAAAATGATAATATTTCAAAGGCATGTCAGTGTTTTTGTGTCACGATTCTCCGACCTATATCTATCTATTTTTATTATTGTTATAGAGTAGGGCTTATTATATGGTAAATCCGCTCTTATATAAATTTTATACAAAATCTACTTATAAGAAAGGTGTTTTTAGTCCATTTAGGCTAAATTCATATTTCTTTTCTTTAAATAGGTAATTGAATAAAGAGGCTATGAAAATAAGTTTATCTATCTATAAAATAGCAAAATGAACACCACACACAACACACCCAGTGTGTTCAAGTGATTTTGAGTCCTTGTATATACATATCATTAAAATACAAATATGGAATCTGATGAACTTTAATCCTCCTATAACACCAATGCTTTAATTAAATACGAAGCCATAAAGCACAATTAGCAGAAGCTAAACACCTAATACCCATCTATACAATTACAAATACATTGTGAAACCACAGAACTACTTGCCAAGGCAATACACTCCTTATATGAACTATTGTAAGATCTATAGATCATTAATCTGTACTGAAACTGTTAAACCAAATCCATAATAATGTGAGGATAATTATGTTCAAAATCACGTATGTAGATCGTATGTAATATTATTAAATTTAATTTTATGGGAAAGTCTATTTTATTATATAAATCTTTTAAAGTACATAATGTACTACGTTTTATACAAATATTTTGTATATATGTATATTTTATAGATATATATAAAAAACATATTATATAAAAAAATAGTTTTTTTCGAAAAAGATATAAAAATAAAAATTGCATATTTCAGAAAATACACCTACGTAGAGAGACTTAAAAAGCAAAACTATATCCAAATACAACATTTCCTTTGTATGTTCTTTTTTCTTTAAGTTTCTAGAGCATTTTCCTAATTCAATGTAAATAAATAAATATGTTGGGACATTAACACCATCTAGTGCCATGGTAAGCTATGAGGCTTGTGTTATGGATACCAGGTAGTTGATACACTTTAAATACATAAATTTTATAAATATAAACACCCATGACTAGAGTACAAACATTCGTGCTCGTCACATAAATGAATGCCCCCACCGGGACTGGAACCCGCGACCGCTGGCACAGCAAGTAGGATCACTACAAACTGAGCTAAACGTACTATGATAACCAATGTATTATGTATTGCGTTAATACATAATTGTATAATTGTTTAATTCCTAAACAATAAATAGCTAAGTTCTAAACATTCCGTTTGCAATTACTTGAAACTTTTCATAAATTAAATAAGTCTAGGAATACTAGTTCAAAAATTCATCGCTACAATAATTATTCTGATGAGACTCTACATTCACATTTCACTTTATCGCACTTTCACAATAACCTTCGCAATTGAAAGAGCGTACGTCGTAATACTTGGATATATTCATTGAAAGCATTTTCCAGAGATAATTAATATCGCTGATATCTGTACATTGTTACATTTTTCGCTGATTCTACTGGTAATAACTACTTAGAATATTTACACGTTCAAACATGATTTTGTACTAATTAATCCTTATATACATTTTGAAACAACAGAAGTCTAAATATAAATTACAGATTTGCATACGTGGCTTATTATTTAATTTTGATAATGAATACATATTTGTCTTATATAACAATATTAATTTTATATTTTTTCCCTTACTGGTGAATACATGCGTGTATACATAACCCCATAGGTAACGATTCTACCTCTATATACTTGATATTTTGTGAACACACATCGTACCCGTTACTTCTATCACAGATTATTCTAGTCGAACATTTTATAATTGCGTACAGCTGTTATTTTAATGAAATTGTATCACAACATGATATTACGTTGACAATTCAGTGACTACCAACTATTCATTTGTCTTAAAATGATCACATATTTTGTGAGTAAAACAATTAGTTCCCAGTCAAAATTTGAAACATTCCTTTTATTTTTAATTCTTAAATTTATTTCTATAGCTTACGAAGTGAAATTACTAGTAAATAACAGCAAAAGTCTACGTCAGCCTCATATTACAATCTTGTACACGATTTTTGTTCTTAGTGAAACCTAAAAGTAGTTCAGCTATAAAAACTATAACACTTACACCGTACAAGATACCAATCAGCATAAAAGCTCCAAGCAAATGCTGAATACTTAACGGAACTATAGTACCCGTACCATCGGAGCTGATTCTGTGAATAAACAACTCTTCATTCCATTTATCAATCAGACCATTCTCCGAAAGGCTTCGTATAATATTATTGAACCTCGCTAACATTGGAAACCATTTTCTAAATAATAGAACAACACCGTACTTGTATAGGTTATCGCTCTCTGGAAAGCAGTAAATCAATCCCGCACCTTTACCTAACTCCTGATCCATGTATTCGGCTTGCTTTCGCGATGAAACAACACCAAAATTCCTGGCCAAAGCCGCTCGTCTTATACCCTCAGCGAACGTAGTGATGTTATATTTGCGATACAAATAATACGAGCTAGCATTATTAGTCTCAAAATAGGATCGGTAAATCTGCCTGCCACCCAAAGGAATTCCAGACTCAATAAGATCCGATTGACTGCTTATCTGCTTTTCGAATCTTGGATGCATTAGAAAGCTTCTCAGAAATGATTCGTACGTTATCCCCATATTTAAAGCAAAGCACAACCAGCCGAAAATTAGTATGCGGAACTGCGATGATTTGGCATCAAATTTCGCAGCCCAACCCAACAGCATGCAAAATGTCATCAATATAGTATAAGTCGGCCATTTTGTATCTCTGTTTTCTTGGTAATATAAATAATGAAAAATCAATCCCATAATTACGACGCTTGCAAACGTTGCTACCCATGTCGTCCATTGGAATATAATAATTAAATTATCCCATGTCACAGCCTGTCTAGCTTTTGGTACGCACCAAGTCATTTCATCTTGAGTATAGCTTATAGTCGGATGAAATAACTTACGAGTTTTTCTTGTAACTTCAATATTGCCTATAAGAAGGTCTATAGAATTGTTCATTAACATACCATACCCTTCGCTCGCTGTACCATTAGAGTAGATCTCACCCCAATTTTCTACTTTTTCTGACATACGAATAATAAGGCTCATGTTTGTGAATTGACTTATAATCTTTACAAGATTTATCTCTCCACCCTTTTGAAATTCATAAGCATCGTCCCACATTGTATTCGTAACTTTCCTTTCAGGCGGCATCACGTACGGTTCAGATATAATGGCATAAGTTATTAAAGGGCAGCCTTTTAAGTCTAATGGAAACATCTCCCTTTGAACTTCTAATTGTTTTATATTGTTATTCTTACAAATATCTAAAATATAAACTGACTTACATTTACCGGCGCAATTTCGGTTGTCGTATGGGGTCCAAGAATATGATGTGACTTCGTCTGTTACCGGGGAATATATGAACGCAATGCTTTTTAATAGCTTGTAATGTCGAAGTTCATTTATGAATGCTTTGGCAACATCTGCGCCTTTTTCTCCTGATTTCAGTCTATAATAAATTATGGCTTTAGCTAGGGGATTCCACGTGGGAAGTCCACTTAGTTGAATTAAATGGTTTAACAACTCGAATTTCTTTTTGAGTATCATTAGATAGTTTTTTGCTTTTTCTGGAAAGTGAGAAGCGTTTGCATGTTCTCTAAATGCATTTTTTACCATTATACTATAGTTTTTCCCGCCATGCATAGTTTTTAATAGAAAATTTTCAGCTGCAGACGCTTTAGAATTTACACTGACAATGATAATGCTGCCACTTAAAGCCTTCTTCTCGACAAAGTATTTTGCAGATAGACTCAAGACGCATTCCGCGCTGTTTGTTATTTGCTCGGGATTTTCAGCATCAATTAGGAAAGGATTTTCGCTAGATACTACAAGTATTAATTTTACTAAGAGTAAATATTTAAATAAACTTCTAAAGCACATCTTGAAGGGTTGTTTATTGTTATATAGCTGAAGAGGCATTAAAATGAAGAGCATTGTAACACTTAAATAAATATGTATCTACTAAAAGTCAGATGCACTAAACATACGGACACAAAATACGTCATATTTTAAAAATAAATAAATTAAATGAATACTTTCTTAGATTTGAGGAAATATTTAATGTTTTAAGCAGAATTATCTTTTCTGATTACACATTTTATTCACAAAATTATACAAGGATTTCAACTAATACCAAAATATATAAATATCAAATTGTACAATTGTGTCAAATTTTAATAAAATACTTCCTTAGACAGTACAATATTATATCTAGAATTATAACAGCAAATTCTTCTATGCCTACATATCTATATGAAAATCGACCGTGGCGACCAAAGCCATCATTAATTCGAATAGTATAGCTCGAGGTATGTTCAAGGTGTAAAAATCATAAAATTTCGGTATATATATATGTGTTTTTGTAATTCATCTTCTCCTAAACGGATTGACCTACATATTTTGATTAAAAAATATATGAAATTACTTCTAGATGGTCCTTAGTTATGGGTGGAGCCAATATGTGGTTTCTGTTGTCGGATTCAGGACTTTTTTAAGATCACTTATGAATTTGAAATTTGGACAAACAACGTCTATCAAGTCCGCGTGCTTACTATCTAATAATATTAGAGACCCCACTTCTTTCAGGTTCGTCCGTAGGGACGTTTTGACTAGGGTATAGATATATTTTTTTAATTTCGTGAATTTTTCCGATGTTTTAATAGTTATTTTGCTATTCGGGGTAAAGACAAATCAAACAAAACAAAGATCATAAAAATCGGTCCAGCAGTTCTCGAGTTATAAGTGTTGTAACAAACCCGAGTTTGTTTTATAAAAAATTAGGTTTCTTTGTATTTTTTAATGCCGCATCATAAAAAAATTAAAATAATAAATTTTGTCCAAAAATTAAAAACACAAATTTTGGGGTGGACAATCGTTATCACTTAGTGTTATGAAATATAATTTGCGTCCTATTCTCAGACCTACTAAATATACAGACAAAATTTCATAAAAATCGATAAAGCCGTTTCGGAAGAGTTTTGTTACAAACACTGTGACACGAGAATTTTATATATTAAGATATAATATAGAACCTTTTTTTAATATAGAACCTTTATATAGAACCATTACAAATAATGACAGTGTAAATTGAGATCAACAATCGCTTCTCTTAGATACGTGAACTTTTGTGTCGAAATATAAGGTGTTTCATAATATTATTCTTTATCATCAAACAAACAAACATACATATTTTTTATTACTTTTCAAATAAAAAATCGTACATATAATTTAAATAACATTTTTTTTCTTAAAATGTTTAAGATATATGTTTCTAATAAAGTTAGCCTTTAACATTATGTTGACATTTAAAACTGAATAGGCCAATCATATTCAATTATATTCATAATGTTCACCGTGAACTTCTGCTTCTCTGATGTTTAGAATTGAAACAAACGGCACACGATATCTTGAAAATTGTATGCCGATATTAGTCTAAGTTTGTGGCTTTACCTTGCTTTACTTTAGTATAATAAATAGAAGTAAATATTAATGATCTTAAATTGATGAATTTTAATAAATTTATAAAGGAAAAAATGTCCCGCTGAGTATCTTTCACCAGTTTGTCTCAAAACTGAGGATTTTTTTTTATAAGCGTGTGGTAGACTCATAATGTTCGGTAGAAATTTTCATAGCTTAATACTGAATAATACATTTTTTTGAAATCTTGAATGTCACCTTTGTTTTAATTATAATTAGACTCATTGTGAAATAATCTTATAATTATATAAACTATTTATCCTCAAATCACTCAAACCATATAACATTTATCATACTTGTTACAATATTAGTTATCCAAAAACTAAGTTAGATTATAGATTATAAACTTACTTAAGAAGAGACTTACTTTTATGTATTTAAAATTTTATTCATATCATCTTCTATTTTTCATCCTTATAAGGCCTAAATCTTTGCATTAGAATAATCATTTTAATCAGAAAAAAATTTCTATCAAAATAGCCAAAGCCAAGCTAGCAATTTTATATAACGAATTCTCAAACTACCAATCATTTTATATTTTAGAGATTGAATATCCGATTTTTTTTTGTTAGTGGTTAGTGAGTTAGTAGTATTTCACAGTTAAAATAAATAATCTGGTGTCATTTTGCCATATATTTTATGCCTTAATTTTAAAACCGTGTAGGCAACGCTCGCTGATAAAGCCACTCGATTGCGATTTTTTTCCGCCTTCAATTAAAGTTATTACGATTTCTCACAGCAAACAGTTTTATCAGATTAAAAAATTGCGAAGAAGCGTGAAAGAATTTTCAGAATCAGATCAGTAGTTTTCATTACTTTTTATGTTATTGTTAGTGTATAATAAAAAGTATATGATAATAAGTCTATACTATGTAAGAAACTAACTGGCTACTTACCCTCGTTTTGCTTGGGTGCGTCCCAAGGTACGTTTTCAACCCCCGACGCAAAAGCGACGGGGTGTTATAAGTTTGACTTGTCTGTCTGTGGCATCGTCGCTCTCGAACGGATGAATTGATTTTGTTTGAAAGATGAATTAGTCGGGAGTGTTTTTAGCTATGTTTCATGATAATCGGTCCAAGATAATCGTTTTTTTTTAATTTATAATTTAATTCAGTTATAAATATATAAAAATAGTTGTTGAGAGTATACTTAGGGAGAGGTTGAGAAAGAATATTACATTGTTTTGATGTGTCTCTAAGTTTAGCCAGCGTTAGCCCTATAACCGTATCAAAACATAATACTTTCTTAGATTTACGCGTATATTTGATATTTTAAATAAAACTATCTTTTCGGATTATTTCGCGGATTTATTTTGATTTTTGGTTCCCAAAAACCAAAAATCAAAATAAATCCGCGAAATAATCCGTATCAAAACAGTTTTTTTTCTTTATAAAAAAGCGTCATAGATATGGCATTTTGAACAAAATATTTACAAATTATGTACACAACCCTTCTTTATTTATGATAAATACCTTTTTTATTATTGAAAGCCATATAAAATCCGTTCTCCAGAAGCTACAAAAAAGGTCATTTCGCTCTCACATCGGCTTTTACAGCCACCAGAAGCGATGCATCAGTAGTACTATTCTATTATATGTAAAGATGTTTTGCTATAAAAATATACAATATTATTGCAACATAGCAGAAAAAACCAACAAAAATTCTAATAAGGTCTCATGTGTAAAATACTCCAATATCAACCGAATCAATAAGGTACCTAATAATTGAAGTTTTATTTTTATATTATGTATATTTATGGTGGTGTGATTTGTTGTAGGTATATTTAGTATAGCTTAATATTCTTATTTTTTTAAATCAGTGGTAGCCCAGTGGTAGTGCTCGCTTGGGAAACCGAGTGAAGCGGCTTCAAATCCCGGGTTTCGCACCCTGATATTTTTATGTGCGAATCATTTCTAAAATGATTACCACTTGTCTTATGGTGAAGAAAAACTTCGTGAGGAAACCTACATGTCTGAGAGAACCAAGCCAGTTTTCAAAAGACATGTGAAGTCCGCCAACCCGCACTTGACAAGCGTGAAGCCCGTGCCCAGCAGTGGGGCGTTAAAAAGGGCTGAATACAATCTTATTTTACCAATTCATGTCTTCATAGGTTTTCGTTATATCAACTGGAACGCTTTGAAGCCATTAAACAATAAAATTGAATTGGCAATCCAAAAACTTAAAAAAAACCGACTTCCAGGCACTAAAATGTAAAAAATTACTAAACGGGGGTTTTCATTTAGAATAGATACCTAATCAGATATTTTCGAAGTCGGTGCCAGCTGACGCATAGAAAATCTAATATATTTTGATACGTAAAATACATATTTACCTATTAGATATTCATATCTCAAAATATTGTCCGCTGGCACCGACTTCGAAAATATCTGATTAGGTATCTATTCTAAATGAAAACCCCTGTTTAGTTATTTTTTACATTTTAGTGCCTGGAAGTCGATTTTATTAATTTTTCTAAGTTTTTATTTTTATATTTTTAGTGTAGACATAATAAGCAGGTAATTTGTAAGAAGAAAGTTTTTAGTAATATATTCGATTAAACAATTTGTTTAAAAAAATATTTATTGTTGACTTTTCTTAAAACCGCTTAACCGATTTCAATAAAATTTATATGAGACCACCTGGGAAGTATACCCTTTCAAACAAAATAAAAAATTTCCAAATCGGTTCAGGCGTCTTCGAGTAATCGGTGAACATACATTAAAAAAAGATTCCGACGAATTGAGAACCTCCTCGTTTTTGGAAGTCGGTTAAAAGGTTTTTGTAACTTTACTTAATAAAAAAAGTAAAACATTTCTATGTATCAAACATAACACGTCAAGCGGTATCATCATAGTACAAAATACTCATTATAATAAAAACTGTACTACACTTTACTCTAGTTAGATTACTACACAGATATTATAAGCATTTGCGACAATACAACAGCCCAGTAAAAAGTTTGAAAATGGCCACATATTTTTAATCCAGTTACCTAATTAAAATTTTGACAAAAAAAAGTATCCGAAAAGATAAGGATGAAATAAAACCAAATAACGATGTAAATTACATAATTTATTATTATTTTCAAAATTTGATCGCTTTACACAAATAAAACTTGGCCGACCGACGTCGGTTACACAACAATCGCAATCAAACTATTCAATCAAACAAATTATATTAATTTAATTAAATCTCTAAAGACAATAGAGGAATGAGCTTAAACAAAGAGATTAGAAGTCGTAACTTTATTTAAAAGCAATAAAAATATCGATGATACCGAAAATTTGAAAAAAATCGTTCAAATTTGATTCCTTAGACTGTTTACTGTTCATATTTGCAATCTATTGTCTTTGAGATTTCAGCAGCGAAAACTAAAATACTTAAATAAATATTACACCAACCATTGATTACGACTAAAATTGACAAATAAATTGTTGTTCTAACATTTTGTGCCGTAAAACGAGTGTGACATACACCGTACAGTACCGCTTAATTATACTATATACAATAAATGCAACTTCGAGTACCTAAACCTGTGCTCCATAACAATCTATATAAATATGACTTTATTAAAGCTAATCGAAAATTTATTGGGAAAGAGGAAATCGGGACGGTGGAAGGTTTTATAAGCGACGGTAATATAAAATTGTTGAAGCTTAGGGTTAGACTTAACTAACTGTGACGTGATGAGTTTGAGATGAAATTAATCAAAATAATTTAAAAAATCCGAAAATAAAATAACGCAATTCAATCCAATTATAAATGATTTTTGATGGACACGATATTTTTATAGGTAGGATATAATAGGACGCTTCAAGGAACTAGTCTTTGAATGTTAATTTTTTGTTCAATCATATAATTTATTTACTTTACATTCAACAATTGATTTAACATGCATTTTAATTCTTCCATTAGGCCTCTATTAATGTAACCATATTACGGACAGGTTGTTTGGGAAGTTGCTTTAAATATTTGATATGAATACGCCGTGGTGAGGAAAACAATCGAGTACTTAGTTGAGAGTACACCATTCTTCGACCAAATTCATGATTTGTATACGTATGCTATCTTAATTGAATTAACTTTAAAAATGGGAATACTAAATTAATCTGACATGCTTTTAGACATATTCACGTAAGTCTTAATCAAACATAATAGGTACATACTCTACTGAACCACCATTTCCTACAAGCTCGTACGTATGCCTTTACGTTATATGGCCCAAGCTACCTTCGACCCCAATAATAATATATTCCTACTCGCCTCTATTCATTAAAAATATTGTATAAGACCTAATAAATATAGGAAAGAGAATTGTAATTGTAAAAGTACCGTAGTCTTCAATTGAACGATATGCTTCATTTTCTGTGATGGCAGCCCGAATTTTAGCCTGTACCCTTATTAATATGGCGTTTTATTTACTATCAGATATTAAAATTTGGAGGCTCTTCTACTTAGTTATAAAAGAAACTTGTTTCTAGCTTATGATAATAACTTGCCCCAAAAGAGGTAATTTTCATGATATTTTTAAGTTTGATAATTTCATTTAAAATTTCTCTTCAAAGATCAAATAAGAACATCTGATATAATAAGCGAACCATGATATTAGTCTTAGCATAAGTGAAAGTATGGAAGGCGGAAGGGCCCGAATTAGAAAAGCTGTTGAATGTGTACAAAATCAGAATGAATGACAAACTTTAAAGCATTGATTACAAATATTTTTCTATAACCCTTGTTGCATGGCAAAACTGTATAACTACTGTTGATATATAATTATGATTTGTTAGTCATCAGAAGGGTTGACAGAAAAAACATCTGTATCTTTCTTATGTATCAGGTTTTTGCAGATCTCAAAACTTCACACCAGATCGCACAAGTGACGTTTCTACAACGTTACAATAATTAATATTTACATTAACACTTGCGAATCAGTCAGTATCTTATGCAACTTAATCATTACTAATCGACGTTCACACTTATATCGATATTAGCATTAATATCGGCCTTTGGCTAAAAACACCATAAAATTGCGGAACTTAATAGTTTTTCGTAAAAGTTAAAAAAAAATTGTATATAAATGTATGCTTAAGTTTTGTGAAAAGGAAATTCTTATCTTATTTTTATTTTACATAGTATTTTTAGCCACATGACGATATCGTTTTCAGCATCAACCAAACATCGATTATAAATATATCAATTTTGATACCGATTATCCATTCAGCTAATTAGGAAAGCGACTAGGGGTTGATATTCGAATCACAACTAATCCTCGTATATAAATCGATCTACAGCTGATATGTTACGTTTTACGTGACTTGTATAGATAAGTAAACATTGGGTGTCGAATACGGCTGAAAAGTCAGTACGCAAGATATTATGGCTTTAAATAGACAATAAAATAAATAAAATTACAATATTAATTAATATTCTCCCAATCAAAACAGACTAAAATAAAACTTTCTATTGACTATACGAGTATATCTATGCTAATAATGTAATAGCACATAAAACCATCCATAATTGGTATAAAGGTAGAACCAAATTAAATTATATGACAACCGCATAGATAAAAAACTAAGTGAAGATTCAACAGACATAGATAATAGCTATGGCTCTTGATATCAAAAATATCGTATAAAATTATAAAAACAGTGGAGAGAACTTCAACGATACTGACAACCCTATCAAATATCATCAACACAAGTCACGTATAATTTTACAGGCACGAGACGTGAGCACAGTCCCGATATCATCATCATTATCATTATTGTTATCAATTATTGTGATCAAATTTTTTTATGTATTAGTGAAACTACTTATTGAACAATTTATTTTTGATTTTACTTTATGTTTTAGGTTAAAATTTTAATAAATATATGTAGCAAATAAAGTATAATGTATAAAATTCATATCATTTGTTGCAATATGTTACAAGTTATAAACGAGACAAGTCTCACATAATGATTCTAATTAGAACTTGTTTCTATAATAATAAATAAAAAAAGAAAATTCTTCAAATCAATTTTAATTAACGAAATTTATTGAATCAATCTACAAATTACAAAAATTCGCATGAAATAACAAAATCTGAAGAGATCTTTACCCATCTCTTAACACCTCCAGGTAAATTTTTAAGAAATTAATTAAATTTCTAGAAAATCTATTGTTAACTGTAACGCTGGCGCGGCGTGTTAGCGGTCGTGGAGGGATTAAAAACATTCTTCTTTATTAAAAAAATAATAATAATAATCCTATATAACCAAAATGCAATACCAAGTTTGTTTTATGAGAATGTGCTCACGATTCTTGCCTATATAACAACACAGCTTAAACATACCACTCCTTAATACCATCCCGCTTGACGGGTTGCGGCGGCGCGAGGGGCGTCGCACCGTTCCTGTTGAGAGGTAACGGCTGGAGGTTGCGTGAAGCACTGCCAGGAGCGCTTGTAGCGCTTTGATAACTCGAGTGGGCCTGGAAAATGTAATTATAATATGATAATTGAAAACGTCATATTTTTTTATTGTTTTAAAAATTAAATTAGCAATTCTTGTACATATATATAATTTGGTGTATATTGAAACGGCTCTAATGATTTGGATCAAATTTTGTATTTAGATAAGGTTTTGCTTTTAAGTCTATCCATATAGGGTTAATTTTCTGAAAAAAAAAACGCATTTTTTATATAGTTTCCAAAAAACCACAAGCGAAGCTCGATCGCTCAAGTACTTGTTATGTTTAAATTACTTAATTTAGATTTTTTTTTAAGAAGATATACAAATATCTGATTTAATAATCATACATGCGAATGTGTTAGTATGTTTCTTATTCCTTCACACTAAAACGGCTGATGGATGATGGATTTGGATGAATAGAACACAACTACGTATGACCCGGAGTAACATATAGGCCACTATCAGGCCTAGAGTCAGGCCTAGAGATGCATATGAATAAAGCGATGCTAAATCGCTACTTAATATATATTTTTATTAATTTTGAAATAAAATATAATAAAAAACTACAAAAATAAGTAAAGGCTGATCTATACATTTTTTTTCAGATAAGCTTCATTACCCTCGATTACCCCTTATGGTCTATTTCTGTGAATCGTTTATCTGTATCATGGCGGAATTGGCGGATTCTAATGAGATACAATAACAGTATTAAACTCCTATATTTTCCCATTCCTATCATATTAATAATGACCTGGTTGCCCAGTAGAGCCGCGCTGGCGCTCTGCTGGTAACTCTTGTCTTCCGTCACCTTGTATGAAGGGTCGAGGCGGAACACCAACTTCAACACGATGATCACTATCAGGATTATTGCGATGAGCACTGAAGCTACGATACCTGGAATAATATTATTTAACCAATTATTCATTTAGTCTGTCAATTCTCATTTTTTATAGATTGAGAGGAGGTTATAAAAGATATAATAATTTTATATAATAAGACAAATAATTGAGAATTATGGTATTCTATAATACAATGGTTCTTTTCAATTTATTAAGCAAAATGATAGAGTATAGTATCTTATTAGTACTTTACTTACTAAGATTATCTTTGAAGTTAATAATATTTTAGTACAAATATCTGTGTAAAACTTACCAACAATTGTCGCAAAGAACTCAGATTCAGGTGGCACAACCCTACTATCAGTAGTCTTAGGGTTGTACCACTTAGTCGTTATCTCGTTTTCAAATCCGTTATAATCTGGATGTATTCTTGGGCCTCTGTCGTGCTCCTCTATTTCATATGTTGGAGATTTAGTTTCGATCTCGTTGTGCTTCTCATCGTAATCCGGTATATGTTCTTCTTCGGTGGTTTGTGTTGATTCTGTATGTTTTCCTGTCATTGTTGGTGTGAAATGTCCGGGATGGGATCGATCTATAATTAATAATCAATAATAATAAGTATAAGGTATAGATACTAATATAAATAGCTGATTACGATGCACCCTAAATAAATCTTATCTGTATATTCTCGAGCTTTCTATAAATAGACATATTCAATAAATCAGTTTCATTTTTAGCGATAAATCTAGACATAAAAGAAACAAAAAAATAACTAATGTTTATTAGATGTTTGATATTCTAAGAAAAGTTTCAAAACTTAGCAAATTGGACGCTTGTATTCTGATTTAATTGACGCTGAATACAATTGACGCTTACTTTCTTGAATTTATGATTCTAGATATTGCTACACTATATTCTTTTGGTTCTTTAATATTTCCCATATTTTTTGCACTACACAAATCGGAGTTTTTTTTAAACCAGTTAAGTTTTACTCAAATATTTGATTTTGTTATATATATATGCTACAACCGTAAATTCCTTACCATCAGTAGGTGTAGTCCCTCTATCAGGTGTAGTTCCAGTATCGATAGTACCAGCATGCATAATATTGTCGTGGTCGGGTAAAGTGGTGTCACTTTTGGTGGTACCAGTGGCATCTGTACCACTGTCAGTTGATCCTGGTATAGTTTTGGCAACATGTTCAGTCGATATCGATGCGGTGGGCGATGTCATTGCGTGTGTGCTGCTGACACCAGAACTGGAATAACATTTATTATTAATATGCTTTTATTAGCCTTACATGTTTGTCAACCAAGAATTTTAATGTACACTGAAATTATTGTTTATTATTATATTTAATAGAATATATCACAACTCTACTTACGTAGTCATATGATGGTCTGGCTCGGTAATATCTTCACCACTGGAGCCAGAACCTTCTATGCAGTCTTCATCATCACATGGCTTCATCAGCTTACCGCTGACATCTCCCTAGAATTCAATTACAATAATTATAAACTTTTATTTTTACCGACTTTTTACTAAAATTTATTAGGCTTATATTATAAAATTCATTAGTGACGAGACAGCTGATTTATATTTATTCAAAAAATAGACATTACGAGTCAGCGAGGGAATTAATCTTAAAATGTACAACATATTATTTTAGGACTGCCCTTTTCATCTGCCCTGGTTGCTTGTATAATAAGTCATATTATTTTAACAACCTATTATATCTATACATTTAACCCATCAGTTTACTATATCATGAATAGAATATTTAGAAATTGCTAGGCAAACTATAATAATAACTTTATTAAATTCTTACAAAGTACCTACAATGTGTTAGAACGAACATTTATAAAATGTACCTTATGTATTTTAGAAGGAGGTCGTCTCGTAGATGGTACATAAACAGGGGTGATCAGATCATCACCAGAGCCAGCATCAGGTAGAACACATGCGTCTTCATCATCATCTCTACATCCAGATCCTGCACCAGAGTATACCAGCTCATCTAAAACTCCTGGACCTCCATACCCTGATGGTGGAGTCTGTAATAAAAACAAAAAAATAAAACGTATTTTATTTCTCCGTTTTATTTTTCTTTGCAGGTGACGTTAGCGATATGATAATTAATATTTACTGTCTTTGCAAAAATAAATTTTACAAATTTATTAACATAATATTTAACACGTGAAATATACCACATATTAAAAAGTTTTCCGACCTGTTAAAACTACAAAAAGGTCGTTTCAACTGAGGATTTCACTTAAAAAGGTCAACTTGAAAAAGTACTAGATCACCATTGAATATTAAATATTATTTCCACTCATACCTGCTGCATCCTATTAATATCTCTGTCCAATGGAGTGTGCGCTCTCCTTACATCTCCTCTTAATGCGGCAGAAGGGTCAGCAGCAGCAGCTAGATCTAGCAAACGTGCCCCATTAACAACTAGCCCAGCCACCACACCACTAAAAGACCTCCCACCACCACCACCGCCACCGACAGTAATGCGCGACATGCTATTGAATATTGTTGATTGTTGACCACCTTAAAATACATAATAATAATATATTATAACGAGATATGTTGGTGGGTAGTATATGTATGTATATAAATAAACAGACCTAATATTTTTTTGTTATTAATGTCATAAAATTTTCATGTTGCACAAAACCCTGAGACAATAGCGTCATTATAGCATATTAATCATCGATCAACTAACTAGTGCTAGATACACAATCCCATGCAAAAGTTCTCTTAAAGCTGTCACCAATTGTGTGTAGGTAATTATTCTAGTTTAAATAAATATACAACAATGTAAATTGAACCTTAAATGCAATGCTTTAAGTAGTTTACATAAAAAAAGCACGCTATTATGTTCAAATGAGCGCTCATTCGGAGAGGACATTTTTTGTCACTGATTGTGTATCTAGTACTTTTTTGATCGATGACATTATCTTAAGAAACTAACCTTGTGGGTGTCGAATATTCACTGCATAATTATCTAGTTGCAAAGCGGCGCGACTACCGTTCCTCGTGAACCGAGCCACATGGTATGCTCCATCATCTACCCTTGCTGCTTCATCACCTAGTGGATGATCACCATCACCGACATTGTAAACCATGAAGAGGTTACCACGAATCTAAAAAATGTGATTAAAAAAATTACTTCCGATTTTTCCATAAATTTTATGTAATCAATTACATCAATGACCATAGTTAAATATCTTCATATGTAAGAGGCATGATGTGTTTGTATTAGATAGATAGATAGAAATAGTAATGAACATAATAATTCGTATTTAGTAGGTTTCGATTTTGTCAGTCACTTGTTTCTATCTTTTATGTTAAGGCTCAATAGTTTCAAGCAATAGTTTAATTCTCTAGCACTTCAGTATTTCTGTGCGCCTATTAATATATTAATGACAATTTGATCTTATACAATTTTGCATTGTATCTAAATTATTTTATAAACTATCAAATATTTTATATAATATGAAAAATAACACACAGATACTAATTACTATAAATTACTGTAAGAAATTCTTATTTATCAATATCTTTTATTGCTTAACAGGAATCAGTTAGTAATTATAGTTAAGATTTTTTCATTACCAGTTAAATTGTTCAGGATTGCCAGACGAAGAATATTAATAAACTACTCACAATCTCCATTTGCATATAATCTTGAGTATTCGACGATTCAATCCTCAGTAGCACAGCATCTGATTTGCTGGTAACAAAACCAACAGCTACTTTATCAGTCTCAGTATCAGCGACTGCGCTGGGCGGGAATGTGTATGTGAGTATACCTCGACCGGGACCAAACTCGTAGGCGATAGACTCTGCAAAATTAAATGGTTTATTTGTTATGATTTATAATAAATCTATTTATTTCGGATTTCTTCCCGGTTATTGTTTTTATATCTGTCACTTCAAGTAATTTACAGCAAATACTTTCATGGGAGAGACTAAAGTATATAATTATTACAGACGGCATTTACCTACAAAATTGTACATTAATTTGGAATAAAAGAGAAATGGCAACAAAGTTTCGTATTATAAAAAAAAAATCTAAGTAGTGTTGCTATAGTTTTACAATTTATTTATTTTTTTGGATGGGGTATGATGACTTTATTGAAGAACAAGATATTTATTTCAATCTGATGTTTCTAATATTACCGTCATAACATGTAGGTCCAGTAAATGATGTAAGGTCGCAATCGCACACATACGTATTCCACTGTTGCACACAGACGCCTTTATTCGCACACGCATTGTGAGTACATTTCGTTGGACCTTAAATACAAAGCTTATTTTGATGAAAAAAAAAATGTATTGTTGTTCTATTTTAGATGTCCATGCAATGTTTTAATATTTTCGACATATCCAAGCTATATTACGCTTAATATGTAATTCCCAAAACATCTCGTTGAATATTTAGTAATCTATTAGCAATTTCGATTGCAGAAAGTTGTTTCTCTGCATCAAAGCTATCTTATTTTAGTTCCATAGCCTTTTTGGCTTAATAAATAAATTTAATATAACATATTATATACGATATTAAAAGAATTTATTCTCAAAAAAGAGAAGAAATCTTATATTAAGAACTTACCTTCACATCCTGACATTAATGAAGAACTAGGAACAACAGCATCTTCCATTAACGAGGGGGACTCCCCGGGTAGGTCTAAACTTGACATACACCCTTCAAATCCTTGCCTTGATAGCACTCCCACAGGTAATGATGTGTACATATCCTTAGGAACTCCACCCACATAAAGCACGCTATCTAACTCTAACATTAAGTTTGAACCTGAAGTAAAACACATATTATTAATTTCATAGGTATAACATACACATTAGTGATTACGGTTTTAATCTCTGCTATAAAAGTATTCCTTCCAATATGCATGCAATGAACCTGGAAGTACATTTATTTATTTCTTTTAAATACTCACTTGTTGTATGCATTTCTAAATCTTCATCAACTTGCATAGTATGAACTTTAGGAGTAGGGCGCCTTATTGACACTGTATGCCATCTGTTATCATTTAAGTAAGTCTTTAATTTATCCTTCATTGTTACGACTCCATCTCCCAAATTAAAAACACAATGTATGTGACCATTGACTAATTCTACAGCTATAAAATCTTGTTTCTTTCCACTATTATAGAACAAAAGTCCATCCATTTCAGTGGTTCGGAAATAAAAATCCAAGTACGTATTTCCATACGCTTTTAGCAATGGCAATCCTACGTATGTATGCTTTGATTTGAAAGTCACTGACTTATAAACATTTAGGGAATCTGGCTTTATAAATTTTCCATTAAATATTATATTGGACGTATCGTAAATATTATTACTTTCATCGTTGGTACCAATCCCAAGAGTTTTTGCCATATCTATATATTTTATGCCATTAAAAATAAACTTTTGTAGATATCCTACAAAATTTGGTAACGTAGACGTCATCTGAATTTCTTCCTCAGGATGATAAAGTCCTCCCAAATGTAAAGTGGAAATTTCTAAAGTAGATGTTTTCCCTAGAATTGTTTCAGCTGTAAAACAAATCAAAATAAATGATAGACTAGTTCATAATAAACTCGAAACATTGAATCACAACATTGACGTTAAAATCAATAGAAACTAGCAAAGTAAACTGTTAAGTTTCATAAATAGCAGCCATTTAAAATATTTACACCGAGTCTATCAGCTCAAAGATTTTGCGTAGCCAAGCTGAAGAAAGATTTATCTAAAATATTCTTTTAAAAGTGAGTGTTTAGGTATAGTGGTAATATTATTACAATTTTAATAACATTAGCTTAAATACTTACAATTGTTAGTGTTTCTTAGTTCTCTTGTAATAATGTTTCTTAGGTCTACTTATTTTATGTCACTATCTAGCATATAAAATGCAAGAAGTGATATGTTTAAATGTATCTTTGTAGTAATCGTACTGTCAATACTAAATTCTTTATAATACTACTTGCTCTGTACTTAATTTTTCATCATGTTTAGTTAGGTAAGTAATTTTTAAAATCATTATTAAGTAAAGTTATAGTACGAGTATGAGAGCAAATAGTTGATTAGAATAATGCATATAGAACAGGAAACTACAGGATAAAATAAACTAAATTTACAGAAACAGAAGAAATCAAAGCAGAAGAACAGAAGAGTGAAGGTACAAAGTGCCAGCTAGAAACAACTGAAAATAAGCTTCTACACTAAATCTAATAGGACATCTAACATCAAGGGACATTTAGTCACATCTAGCTTTGTTAATATTTTACTTTATTACTTGATTATCCATTAATTGCACAAATTTGTTATATTAAATCTAATTGGGAAGATAATAAAACTAATAAGTGCAATTGAATCTGCAAATTCAAAATATCTTTACTTAATATTAATTAACCGTAAAATTGATTTCGCTTTGTATATAGCATCATTTAATTCCCTATAAACGTGTCAATTTCCAAAATTTACTATTTCTTTAAAATTCATGTCCTTTATCTTCATATATAATATCTTTCGGATATCATTAAAAAAATTTGGTTCATCAGTCATATCATATAGATATAACAGAGCAAAATCAAAAACCAACCTTATTTCCCACTACATAAGGGTGAAAATAAAACGGTGCGGGTGCTCCCGTGCATACGTACATAACGTACCGCGGACTGGCTGCCCTCCGTCTACCTGCAGCTTGAGGTTTGAGGCGCGGCGCGAGAAGCGCACTGTATGCCACTTATCATCCGCGACGTTGGTACCAGCGAGAAGGTTCTGAAAATTATGTATCTATTTTAAAATTAGAATTTAGAGATAAGAAATACACCTGTGCGCTTAAACTATATAAAACTAGCAGAACCCGCGGCTTCGCTCGCGCAAAACTATAAAAAAAGCTCTAAAATGGTAGGTTTCATACAAACTTTCATCCCCTATAATACCCCCTCAAGGGATGAATTTCGAACAATGCTAAAACACATATTTATTTAATTATACTGAAAAGCATTAATACTACGTTTCAAGTAGTTCTGATCATAAATATTTTTTGGGTTGTATTATAACGTGTTTTCCCGTGGGTATGAGATAATCTCCCGCGTTAAAAAGCTATCTTATGTCACTGTCCAGCTCTCCAACTATCTCTATACAAAAATCACACCAATCCGTCACTCCATTTTGACGTGAAAGAAGGACAAACAAACAAACAAACAAACAAACAAACAAACAAACAAACAAACAAACAAACAAATGAACACACTTTTACATTTATAATATTAAGTATGGATGTCTTATAAAATACTGGCAATATAAGAAATATTGACCACTTTGTGAATTGATAATGAAATGGATAAAACAAACGGTGTTTGAAAAACAAAGTAAATAATTTATATTCTTCTTTAATCTTATAATAAACTGGCATTGCCTGCAGCACCGCCCGCGTTCAGATGACCAAAAACCAAATTCTTAGGTTTTACATATAAGTATACTTTGACATTGCAGTTTTTGTATTTTTTCTCAGAAATGAGATATTTTTCCGCGGTAAAAAGTATCCTATATGTTGATCCGGATAACCAGCTATCATCATACCAAATTTCATCAAAATCCCTCTAGTGGTTTTCTCGTGATGCGGTAACAGACAGACAGACAGACAGACAGACAAAAATTCTAAAAACTATAGATTCGGATTCAGTATCGATAATAACGTCAATTTCAATAAGATTTTCCAAAAAATATTTAATGTACAGATTCGACTTAGTTAGAATCTTATTATATGTATAGATACATAGTTTTAAAGTGTAACAGAACAATATAGTGAAAATATTATGTGTATGTACCTATAGTTTAAAAAGAGTTTCATTAAAAAAGAGTTAATATTTACCTTCTCTCTATCACCTAATCTAACACTTGCCCTGACTCGTCCCGCAGCGACAGCTAGTTCAATTCTATCTGCAGAGTGCTCTGAAGCAGTACGCAGTAATAGTCCAGCTTTGGTTGTTCGGAATCTTAATAAGAGCTCCTCCGTTTGAGTCACATGTTCAGGCCCGAGTGCGGCTGTGAGGTGTTGACTTCCATTAAGGAAAATTGTAGGTGATTCTGAAATAATTTACACAATATTTTATATTAACTTAGTTCAAGTAGCTAAATTTTTCCACAAAATAGTTTCTAAAATTTTAGAGATTCTTTCCTAATATATAAATTGCCTTTATTTTTTAAATCATATCTGATCTTTAAATATTTTGAATGCTTATTTACTATATACGGAAAAAATATGAATTATACAGTTTTCTATTTAGATTTAATGTAAATTAGCATAGTGTTATACCTCGTCCACAAGTTGGGCCACCATAGTTTGTAGCGGAACAATCGCAAAGCGGACGGTTCCAGCCTTCAGAGCATATGCCACCGTGCTGGCAAGGGGAGCTCACACATTGCTTCATTAGTACATGACACGCGGGTCGAACTGATGCTGGAAATGCCAAAATAATTATTAAATAATTAGGCAGCACGGCAAATTTTTCTATCACTCACTAAGCTAGGTTATATTCGATTTCCGAAGTAGTACATAAAAGTAAATGTTTTAACTTATTTTGTATAATTATGTCCAAATTTATAAAATATAAACTTAAAAAATAAATAATAAAGATTCGATTCTTAATATTTCAATCAATGTCAGTTTGTTAAGTTCTTTGGTGGATACACTGGTCTTAAAATTGCTCGCCTAAATTACTCATACACTCGTACAAAGCGCATTTTTATTTAGAATTAAGTACATATTATTTTATCATTGAATATTTCAACAAAAATTTTTATAGATATACATAATTGTTGCTCACCAGAATCCTGTTGTCTAGCGTAAGCAGTCAAATCCTGAGGTTTCCCATTCAATACCAAATCACGTATACATCCAACAAAGCCTTGTCGTAATGCTGCCGTCCACAGCGCTGCTGGGGTCCTGGATGCTGAGTACTCCGAACCCAGACCTCCAACGAAGAGCGGCCCATCTAGCTCTAGTTGATTTGACTCACCTTTAAATGGAAAATAATTACTATAATAATAAATATTATTTGCAAATAGTAAATATCATAATAATTATCATTAATATGTAAAATTTTCTAAGCTTAAAATGGTTAAATAATTAAAATATGAATGAATATTAGTTGCCTACATCTGTCTTTAAATTTAAGTGCAACAACATGATAATTATATTGTTGATTGTTACAGAGTTTACTCATTGTATTAATTACCACGATATATTAATAACACAATTCCCTTACTAAGTTACCCAATGTCAAGAATTAATGACAAAATTTGGCCACCACATGTACCAACATTTGTGCAGAACAAAATTCTAATTTGCTTTCTTCGCTGTAGATGCAGATATTTTAATCACTAAGAACAATATACATACATTGCTAATATCAATAAAATAATATTAAAAACAAGTTATCTGTCATAGTAATATTTTTTAAAGAATATTTTACATATATTTGAATAAGATACTGGTTTAGTAATGAAAAGAGAGAAAATTAAAAAAATAACAAATTAGACATTAAATGATCTTAAGACTTACCAGGCGTTTTAAATTCAGCATTAGCTCCATCAACAGTAACCCTTCCATCTCTACCGGTTCTTCTAAGCAGAAACTCGTGCCAATGAGAATCATCTACTCTTCTTCTAGAGGCCCTGACCCTCACCCCACCAGAACCAAGATCGACATGAACGTATGTGTATCCATTGAGGATCTCCACAGCAAAAAGATCCGCCTACAAAGATGAACTTTGTGGTACTATATAATGGTGCTACATATTATAAGTATCACTTGAAATATTTTAGTTAATATACTTGTACATACTAATATAACAATTTAAATGTATAAAATACAACATCTTATAGAGGTATTTATAGCAGTTATTCTAAAAATGGTACATGCTTTTATTAAAATAATATATCTAGATGTAATTTAAACTGTAAAATATACATATCAAAATACAACAAAACCTATTATTAGTTTATTATTTCCGAATAGATAGACTAGACACAATATTTACATTATTTTGAAGAAGAAATCATTAGGCGACTAAAATGATTGAGCCAAGTAGTGTAATATAACAAGTGTGTTATTGTGTACGCAGGGATATAACAGACAAGTTAACTTTATTACAACATACCAATAGCTTTAGTGGGTTAACTGGAGACTTAATGTCTTAAAATCTGTAACTGATATTTCAGATGTCTACTACATGCTAACAATGAAATATTATATAATAATTCTGTTAATTTATACTTTAAAGATAATTTAATAAAACTTGCAGAACCACAGATTATATAATAGTACTTTAAGAAAATCCACTCCACATTGTAGACGTTACAAGTAAATTCTGTTGGAGTGCTACGCGTCGCTTGGAATGTATGAAGACATGCTACTCACGCAGCGATTCGCCCGCGGTTTCTAACAACCTTAATGTTTCGCACGAAATAAGAAAATAAGACGTGATTGAAAAAGAAAGAACCTTTTAGGTGCTACTTGCTCTTTAATATGCCGTACATCAGTCGCGTCTATTTAAATATCTTTGTGGAGAGAGCACTAACAAATGGAAAAATAGGGTCTTTTCATGGATAGATCTTTGAAAATGAGGTCCTATATTTTCTGAATTTGGAAAAATGATTAAAAATTCTGATAAAAAAGTACGTCATTTTGATTTTTACATGATATTTATGATAAACTAGGAAATACAAGTTTGTTTTATAGCTGTAAAAATATAAATAATGTGGATGCGTAACCTTTATTTCACAATTAAAAAAATGATAAATACCACAAAATAAAAATCTTACTACTATTATACTATATAAATATTTTACTGTATTCTTTCAATACATCATTCAGACTCGCCCTTGCCCAGTTCTTGTTACTTCTAGATGCACCTTAGTCTAAAACTAACATGCTATTTCTAAAGCTATTCGTAAATTTATACATCTAATGAAACTATATTAAGGTCTACACTACTACTACTACTATCCTACTGTATGTAATTAAAAGAGCAATCAAATATTAAATCAATAATAATTCCGTGACATTTCTGCATTATGTTGTGTTAGTAAATACGATCAGATAATTTATACTATACAGCATTGTACTTCAACACGTATTCCTGTAAGTTTGTATGTTTTTTAAGTGTTTTTTTAATCATTGTACGTTTAATTCTATTTTTTTTTTGTATACAAATACTAATATTCTTAAGACTATGAAATAATGTCCAAAATATCTCATAGATCAAGCCATGTCTAACGCATAGACTACATAGATCGATTCAATTCATATATAGGAATTTAACAAATGGAATGTTTGAAAAATAAAAGTTAATAAAGAAGACATTTCCCATTAATATAACGAAATAGAAGAAAATGTCAACAAAATTAAAAAATGATTATCTTTCATTTTTTAGTACTATTATAGTACTATTGGATTTTTACTTCATTTACGTACAATCGTTAATACATAAAATATTCACGAAGATTCATTACGTAAAGGCCTCAATATCGAAACAAAAGAATACAGAATGGAAATAAAACGTTTCAGTAAAAAAAAATAAGGGGCACGTAATGCATGCAAACTATTCGCAAACAATTTGAATACTAACATTCGTTCAGACCTAAACATGCAAATAGCTAAAGCCGACTCTAATATGCTACCCAAAATTGGTAATAATGTCAAAAAGTTATAATACTATTATATTCTACATCTAAGTATATTTGAGTTTTATTCAGATAGATGACCTATTAGTCTAATCAAATTCTAGAGATATATTCAGAATATTACGTAAAAAACATTACATAGAGGTAAGTTTGTAAAAAAAATGTTTGATATTTGCAACAAGTATACTCTACATAATAATATGGTAAAAACTATTGGATCATGGTGCGAATTTGTGTAGGTATTAATAAAGCCTTTTTAAAAAAAGCTTTTATGAAATATATATATATATATATATAAGCTCTCTTCAGGATCACGTGCTCTTCTATGATTATACAATATACAGGGTGTTCTGGTATACCACTGTGCTTGGGGTTCTACGTGCACATCGATTACAAACACAACATTTTACATTTCCAAGTGGGTGAAACTTTATAAGGTACCATACACAAATTCCCCTACGATGGTGTTCCGAAACGTTTCCAACGTCGTTGCCTTGACCTACCATGCAATTTCCTCAGTGGACATAATTAAATACTGTTAATTTATTCAGCTCACCACTTCATCTTTTAAAATTTTTTACTTGTTTGCCAATTAAGCTTTAATTGTAAAATTAATTCGAATGCTCATCCACTGAGGATAATTTATAGGAGATTGCAAATTTTTTCTTAATTATATTGAAGAATGAAAATTCTTTTTTGTTTCATTACAAACAAACATTTTCATGTTATTGGATACTGGTCAAAGAATAATTTAAATTGGGAACCTCGTTTAAAGAACTGAGGAATAAAGGGGTAATATTTCCACCAATTTACTGAACACAAAATTTTCGGGCTTCTGACGGATTCATATGAATGTTTATATAAACAAAAATGCAACAAAATATCAAAAAGCACGTAATATTTTGCAATCTCGTATATATGAATGGATATGGAACTGACGAAGCATCGACTGATACAGGTTTTAATGATAGTTTTCGTGATGATAGTGAGATGATTTCGATCATGTTCTCTTTTGTGATCTCCAACCCCAAAAGCTTCACCCCTTACCGTGCAACCTACCCTTGGTGGCTTCGCGCCCATGTTGAAGAGAATCAGTCCGTTAGGTTCGTTCGTTCGAAACTTGAATGATATTGTACCGGTCTTTACTGCTTCCCATTTTGGTAAAATCTGAAATAATTACATATTATTTTGTATATTTTAATATTATAAGTTTAATTATTTTATATATAGCAAGGAGAACCGCGGTCATAAACGAGTAATATATCTTTGTAATACAATCGAAAAGAAGTGACCTTGATTTTCGAGTATAAATGACCAGGCCTTCGGCGCAACAATTTCAAGATCGGCTGCGATAGTACAATGCTTTCATTTTAATTACAAAACTAACTGCAATTTATGTTGTTTTAATCAAAATGCATATTCTGTTATTTGTCAATAAATACCCTTGTAGTGCACTGGTATGATATTTAATGGCCAAGTATGCGAATTCGATTTCCTTACTGGGATAAAGTACCTATGTATTTTGAGGATGCAAATATTGTTTACGTTGGGAGCCTAAGCTAATTAGTTGTTTAGATTTATGCGAATATTTGGGATTTTAAATAAAATTATCTTTTCGGATTTGGCGGATTCATTTAGATTTTTTGAAATGATTTTTAGTTTTGCGTGTGGCGCGGTCTATAACAAGTGTATAATATGTATACTATGTAATGACCTTTGAAACTATGATTACTAACTATGACTAAAATTATGATTGATTCGCTGAGATCTAAGATCTTAGATTTATTGTTATCTTTGGATCTCATTTTCTATTTCAGTCTTGTAACATGAGAGACGAGAGTGTCATCTTGGTCAAGCTTGGTCACAAATTAGTATGAAAATTCATCATACATAAGAAACACATCTCATATCTCTTACCTGATAACTCCGCGAAGAATATATTGTGAAAATATGTTTTTAATGCAATAATCTATTTTTATACATATATATCTAAAAATATAATAAAATTCTGATTCTGAATGAAAATCTTATTGAAATAGTCATTTTTATCGATACAGCGGCCGAATCTATAGTTTTTAGAATTTTTGTCCGTCTGTCTGTCTGGAAACGCATCACGAGAAAAATACTGGACAGATTTTGATAAAATTTGGTATGATGATAGCTGGTTATCCGAGTCAACATAAAGGATATTTTTTACTGCAGGAAAATATCTCATCTCTGAGAAATCTATACTAAACGTTAAAAAGTAACTAATAAAAAATTATCTTATTCTTATATCTTTAAACGAGAAATTCTTGTATATACATATATATGTATACATATATATATATACAAGAATATATATATAATCTGAATCTCGGAAACGGCTCCAAAGTTTTTCATGAAATTTAGTACGCAGGGGGTTTCGGGGGCGATAAATCAATCAAATAAAAAATTAGTCTTATGTCTGGGAAAATGCGTGTTTTCGAATTTTCATGTGGCGGAGTCTTCCCCGTTCCCCACACACATGTTGGGAGGACGAGACCATGCGTATAGCTCCACCACGCTGGATGGATGTAGCGCAGGACAGAGCCAACTGGAATTCTCTGGAGGAGGCCTTCACCTCAGGGGTTCTCAAATAGAAATAAATGTTAAATTAATGTTTAGTAATGTAATTTGTAGAGAAATATAAGGCTTTTATATTTTTATTTATTTTTATGTGTAGTGTACGAACTATCTATCCATAACACAAGCCTCATAGCTTACCATAGAACGATGGTGCTATGTGTTCATGTCCCAACATACATATTTATTTATTATCATGATTACCACTTACCTAAAGATAAAAAACCATTATAATGAACCGTACAGATTATACAGAACCTAACTTGTTTTCGAACAATCAACAATCAATTCATATTTAACCAGTATGGCTGTAGCTTGATCCCTTTGCATTGAGGGTGGCCTTAGTCTACTAGTGAGACATGGAAAAAACTGTCTTATTACTATTAGTATTTTATTTAGACCCTTACTTAGCGCTAGAAAGATCAATAGGATTATTTTATCAAAACGGTATTTAAACCGAAGGCACTCTAGATAAGAGGCACAGTCAGGCACATTTCCCACTACACCACATCGTTTTCAACATAGAAGATTACATTTTTATTATAATACTTTCGTATTTCATGCCATATCAAAACACTTAATCAGTTCTACCACCTGCCTATAACGTAATTATTATAATGACCAAGAAAGTTAAGGGTCGAAACGTTCGTGGGTTGAATTGGAAAAAAAATATGAATGAAATTAATTATACATTCAACCAAACTTTTAGTTTCAGTGACCTCTCCAAAAAATAAAAATTGTTTCATTACCTGTTTTTATGGTACAATTTTATTTTTACAATATATGAAATTATTCTGATATAGTATATTCTGACTTAATAAAAATTGTGGATTCAGTTCCAGCTACTATTTTAGACATTATATTTATAAATCCCTATGTTGGTAAAAATTAGCCATATAAAATATTAGATTTAAAAAAAATACAATACAATAAAAAACAGCAAATTACTTTATTTGTATGTATAAAATAAAAACTTAGAAACGTTATAGATCTGCATAAGTCAAATGTCAAAAAAAGAATCTTTGAATATAATAATATGAAAATATAGCAAACAAAGCCGTAAACAGTAACTAAACTAAGTACAAATCACAATATAAAAGTAGGTATATCTCATTGAAGTAAAACGTTCAACTCAAATCCAATACAGATCTAATCAGATTGAGACCACTCAAGCACTCGACCAAATTCGAGAGTCCACCATTCAGAGTATACTTCACATCAGCGACGCTTTTTGCAATGGGTCCGGTTATATTTTCCACAGTGTCCACTGTATATTGTGTTAATTGATGCTTCCACGATACATGTTTTTGTAACGTATTATGATTTCAAAGTAAAGGTTAGTGAACTGAGTGAATAAAATATTGCCAGGGAAAGGTCATAGTTTAAAAATATATTACATATATAATAAAAATATAAATTTAAAGTATTATAAGTAAACATTAATATTAAGTATAATATTTAAAACCGTAACGAATCTAATCAGTGCGTTAGATTTTATTAGATTCTTAAGATATAATACACGTAATAAAACTACAACACGAAAAATTTGATTTTTGTCTAAGCAGGATCCTAAGATCCTAAGATATATTTTTTAAGATAGCACTAACTACGCAGAGCGTTTCTTTATTTAAACCTTTTCATCGCGGGATTCGAACCCAGAACTTGATAATAGCCTTAAATAGTAACCACTAGCAAATTATTAATTGTAACAATATATTTATATACTGTAGTTAGAAGCTATTTATCATATCAGTAAACTTGTACAACTCACTTAGCGCAGTACCTGTGGTAAGCCACGAGAGTGAAGCAGCTCTTACGCCACACCACATACTCTCAAGATTAATGAAGCATTCAGTTATAATACCACGTATTTGTAAAATTACGTAAACCTAACGAAAACAAACAGTATACCGTGTATTTCAAAGCTACATCGAAAGTGTACCTATGTGATTCCAACCACCATCCGTGATTATTAGCGAAGTAACTGTCCCGGTGGTCTAGTGACTAATGTGTACGGCCGCAGATGGAAGTCCGGGGTTCAAGTCTTGGGTCGGGCCAAATTCAGGTATTGAGTGTTTCCATAAATAAATTCTCAATAGCAGCTCGGAGTTGGGAAGTTGGCAGTGTTTCACCACTATGCCCCAGAGAGCACGTAAAGTCGTTGGTCCTGCGCCTTAAACCTCACCAGTCGTGTCGAAGTATCGCCCCATCGGACTTTGAGAGTGACAGGAATAGAAAGTGCACTTGTGCACTGTGCGTACACTTGTTCACTTTAACATCTCCTGCGCATCTGGCTAGTCTCCGTGAGATTTGCCGCCGTGGCCAAAATCGGTCAGAAGGACATTATCATTATTAGAACGGTATAGATATTTATAAAATAGAGATTTAACGCATATGAAGAATATTTTACTACTTCTATTTTTTTTTTAGATAATTTTAAATCATTACCATATTTTATTATAATCATTACCGTATTGTACACTACATGGTCATGTCGAAACAACAATCTCGATTCAAGGTAATTAAAAGTGTCTTAAGGCTTGATATACTTTTCAGATATATCATAATTTCAAAAAAAGAGTATATAAATGAGGAATTTAAAGGAAAACCTAACCACTCTAATAGTTAATAAAAATAATACTTACCAAATGCGCATCTCTAGTAGTAAATGTCACAGGATCGGCAGAGTCAGTAGCGGTACAAGTGTATTCGAGTCTTCCCGTAACCGCAATTAATTTACTTCCAGTTCGTGCTAGGTCTATCAGATTGAGTCGTAGAGTGTCTGCTGAAAACTCCACCTTAAAAAGGAAGTTAAAGTTGACCTCTTGCAAAATGTTTATAAAATTCAGAAATAAACATCAGTAGCATATAAAAAATAGAGATAAATAAAATTGAATTGTTTGTTTATAATTTCAAAATAACAGCTTTTTACTAAATGCATATGAAATTATATATGGTACTTAGAAGGAAAACACAATTTTTAATTTTTTTGTCTGTCTGTCTGTTCTGGCTCATCTCCGAAACGGCTTGACTGATTTTGACGGAACTTTCACTGACGGATAACTGATGTTATAAGCAATACTATTAAACTTAAGCTACCTTTATTTTAGAAAAAAAATTAGGGTTCCGCTCAAAAAATTAAAACGCACCTAGAGACGTACCCGAGCATAAGTCGCTAGTCTAACATTATTTGTACTTCAGTATTATTGTACAAGGGTGCTTAATTAGAATGACTTTCAAATCTAAAAATAATATGTATGGAATAGTATTTTAAAACTTAATGTAACAGTTTTTGAAGGATTACCTTTTTAAGACATCCAATAAAGTTAGTATGTACTCTAGCGCCGGGCAAAGCCCTAGCATTCAATGAACCCCCAACATGGGCTCTGGAACTGGCGAGCATTGTGAAGGAGCCAGCTACGTGTGAATGTTCAGAATAAACGTCGTCCACAACTGCTGAGACCTGTTAAGAAAATTATAAAATTATTATTTACTGCCGACATGAAAAGCTTTTCTCTCTTGGCAGACAGCGCTTTTTATTGAAAAGTTTATAACTAAGTATTGATAAAATAACATTATAATGAATTATCCCATAGAAAAGCGTAAAGTACCAGCCGAAATGTATTTATTATCAATATTTAAAGTTATACGTGGGGAATATTTATTATAACACTTTATACCTACGAAAAATATTTAAACATGAGAAAACCAATTATAAAATGACATATAGAGTCCGTATATTCATGTGAGCATCATAAGCAAAAGCGTGAAAAATAAATAAGTATATGTAGTAGGTATAAAAGATTTTTGCATTTTAGTAGACACTTAAAAAATCGATTCCAGTCGGACTTCATTATAAAGTCATACAACTCTTTCATCTGTAAATAATATTTTCAGAGAATATGACGTGCTTGATTGATGCATACACTAAAGATTACATAAAAGATCATATATATGTAATTATAAAGATAGGTATCTGTATAATAAGCAGCATAGTACTTATTAGGGTTATTTTAAAGGTTAATTCTGTTCTTTAATAAAATATTACATCTAACACAAGGAATAAGATCTATTATAATAGAAACCTGAAAGAATAAACAGAATTAAATTAAAAAATTAAAAAACCCCCGACCATCAACCGATTTTCATCAAACATAGCTAAGAACACTCCCAACTAATTCATCTTTCAAACAAAAAAAAATCTAAATCGGTTCATCCGTTTGGGAGCTATAATGCCACAGACACACACACACACACACACACACACACACACACACACACACACACACACACACACACACACACACGTCATTTATGCATAGGGGGTTAAAAACAATAACAAAAACATCTAAAGTGTAAATTGTGCTTATTCCATAAGTTAAGTCTATTACATATAAAATAGAACAGTCCTTGGTAAATGCATAACACATATCTACATACTCGTAATTATAATAATGAAATACTTATGTGATAATACGAAACCCGAATACGGGACTGAAGTGCACTGAACCAATTTATATTTATTCCCAAATATCCTCAATATCACTATGCGGAAATTAGTACTACAAAATACTATTGCTTTGATGCAAATGGACCGTCAAGTGGAAACGCTAGCCACAATTATACCTACACTAGCAATTCACCCTCGTTACGCTCGGGTACGTCCCTAATTAAATTTTAATATTTAGTACAGACTTCTCAGAGATACATATTTTCTCGCAGTACAAAGTATTCTATATGTAGACCTGGACAACCAGCTATAATCATATCAAATTTTATCAAAATCTGTCCAGTAGTTTTCTGGGCCCAAACGACTGGGCCCAAACCCAAACACACAGACAAAAATTCTAAAAACTATAAATTCGGCCTCTTTATCAATAAGATTTTCTAAAATATATTTAATGGACAGATTCGAGTTCGACTCAGATAGAATTTTATTATAAGTTTGTTATTGTTTCACACAATAACCGACCTTGTCACCTTTGGTGCAATTAAAGTTACTTTAAAGTTACAGCATTTTAGTACTACAATGGTAGTTTTTATTATCGATTTGTTAGTTCTAGTTCTATCCAACATGATATTTAATAGTATAAACCGACTTGATATATATATATATATATTGACCGCGAAGCTGGTATTTTTTATTAATAATATTTTTTAACACTTATTATAATTTTCCTATAACTAATATTATGAAGAGAAAAAAATTGTGCTTTTATATTTAATGCATAAACTAAAAACCCGATTTAGATGAAATTTGATGTGAATATAATTAGAGACCCTGGAAAGGACATAGGATAGTTTTTATCTCGGAAATCGTCCTTTAAAGGGGTAAAAAAGGGGCATGAAAGTGTGTATGGGGCATCACCATATAACCTATCTATCCCATACTAACCGTTAAATAAAAATTTATGTATAGAAAGGGATCGACGGCAACGTGTATCACAATTTTTAAATGTCATCTTTATTCTTGAGTTTGAGAGAATTATGTCACCTCGAATTTGAAATTATCAACCTTTAATGATGACCTTTAGTTTGCTATAAATAGGACTGAACAACTCGTATTTAATTAAATTAATTCTACTTTAATTCAAATTCTCTCGCTGATCGCTTTCAGTGTGAAATCTACTTAGATATTACTAGAAATGTTTCAATATTTTATTATATAATAATTTATGTAATCTATACTAATATTATAAAAAGGTTTGTGAGTTTGTGAGATTGTCGGAGGTAATCTCTGGATCCCCCCAACGTGCGTTCACCTTGTCGTGGTGGGGGGGCTCAGTAGTGCCCGGCAATCCAACCGGGCGCGAAGCTAAGAAACGCACAGGGAGGTTGCCCACTTCGGTGGGCGGTGGCCCTCTTAGGGGGGCGGTGTACCTTTCGGGTTGCTCCTGGTACTTCTCTAATAGCAGAGTGGACCTTGGAGCAACCCCATGGTTGTGGTGGTCTGCTTTGGCAGACCTGCCGTCGGGGCGTCGTAGTTGAATGCGTAAGCGATCCTGCGACGCCCCATTAAGACGGGGGAAGGTTTTGTTGGGTTTTAGTGGGTAGTACTGGCTGTATTACGCCGGTGAGTCCCACACGTCGTGCGTAAATGCATTTCCCAACGTTAAAAAACAAAGGTATTCTCTGGATCTACTGTACCGATTTAGATTAAATTTGGTAACAAGATAGTTTTGGACCCTGGTAAGGGCATAGGATACTTTTTATCCACGAAATCATCCCTTAAGGATGACAATGGGGATGAATGTTTGTATTGGGAAGCAAGCTAGGGACGAACCCAAGCGAAGCGAGGGTAAGTCGCTAGTACATATATACTAATATATAGTTTATCTATTCCATACTAACAGTTGTTATATAAAGTAAAATCCTTTATTAAATCCGCTAAAATCTATACCTATAATAAAATTCTAAATCATAAAATAAAGTAACTAGAACCTGTAAATTAAATATTTTTTGGAAAATCTTATTGAATTGGTTATTATTATTGACATAAAGGCCGAGTCTATAGTTTTTAGAATTTTTGTCCTTCTGTCTATCTGTGCGTCTGGGAACGTATCACGAGAAAACCACTGGACAGATTTTGATGAAATTTCGTATGATGACAGCTGATTATCCGGATCAACATCAAGATACTTTTCACTGCGGAAACATATATCATCTCTGATAAATATACGAGTATACTAAATGTTAAAATGTAAGTAGAGACGAACCCGAGCGGAGCGAAGGCGAGTTGCTAGTATAAAATAAGTACTAACGACAAGCTGTCACATCGCTTCCGCCCTCACTATATCTCATGTCAAAAACGCCTATAACTACTTTGAAATATAAAACTAAAGAGAAACTATAAGTGGCCAGACCGTTTATCCAATATGTGTACGAGTAATATCTTGAAAGAACAAATTTCATTAAACACAATCTGGTCGGGAATATGAAAAAAGTTTCTCGATAAACGTTCAAAGATGTATTAACTTAAAGTGCAAAACATTAAGCTTTCAAGCTTTATAAGACTAACAACAGGGACGTATTTAAATATTTTACCTACTTAAAAAGAGGAAGATTCTCAATTCTTTTGTACTTTTTTGTAACTTACTTTTACAATAAAGTAAATTACATATTTATACACTTAATTATAATATATACAAAACATATCTTATACCTTTAAACGAGCAATTCTTGTATATATATATCTCGGAAACGGCTCCAACGATTTTCATGAATTTTAGTATACAGGGAGTTTTGGGGGCGATAATCGATCTAGATTAGTCTTATGTCTGAGAAAACGCGTGTTTTCGAGTTTTCTCAGAAAGTAATAAATTCAACTTTTCTATTATTATATTTTAAAGTTTGATGTAAATGGAAAAACTGCTTCTATGGCCTAGTGTCTAGCATGTATAGCCGCAGATCGAGGTCTTGGGTACGAGCCTCGGATCGGGCCAAGTTAAGTTATTGAGTCTTTCTATTAAAAAAAAACTCAGTGACAGGCCGAAGTTAGGACGTTGGCGGTGTTTCAGCCCCGAAAAGCAGGTACAGCTGTCGGTTCTGCAACCGATCTCTCACCGGTTGTGCCGAAAATTGTCCTATCGAAAGAGAGTGAAAGAAAGAGAGAATGCACTTGGCTATACTCAGTGAAATTGGCCGCCTGGCAGAAATCAGTTAGGAGGAAATGGAATTAGAAAAATCTGTTTATTGATGGACCTCTTGATGCAATGCATTAAGCAAATGTAAAGAAAAACAACAACAAAACAAAACAATGTTAAGCAAAAAAAGTTTTATATTTCCTTACTGTCTAAACCAATTCACGAGGGTTTAACTGAAGGTCTGTATTATGTAAAACGTAAATCCACCGTTGATTTTTGAGACAACCCCAAAAGCATGATCAATCTTATCGGTTGTTTAATTCGTTTTTTCCGAAATTAATAACAAAGACTTGTTAGAGACTCAATTTTTTTTTATGTACAGTAATGTCAAAAAACACAAATACACAAATCAAACAGTACATCAATGTCTATTGTAGATAGATATTATTCGATTATATAGATGTTTTTAAATATGGATTTAAATATTATTTAAATAAATAAAAGATATTATATTACCTTTGAAATTTCGCACCCTTTACAAACCCTTTACAAATGGTAAGAATAAATCGCGAACATGAACAACAAAACAAATTCCCTAATTATGTACCTGCACCTTTTTGAGATGATCAAAAATTTAGTAAAACTAAGAAAAGAAGGCGACGATTTTTTCTACATTACACAAAAAAATATTTAAACATTTAATTACATAATAAAATTCTAACTGAGTCGAATCTGTGCATTAAGTATTTTTTGAAAAATCTTATTGAAACAATCATTATTATCGATAAAGAGGCTGAATCTATAGTTTTTACAATTTTTGTCTATCTATCTGTCTGGGAACGCATCACAAGAAAACCAATGGGCAGATTTTGATGAAAATTTGGTTGATGATAGTTGGTTATCCGGGCAACATATAGGATACTTTTTACTGCAGGAAAATATCTCATCTCTGAGAAATCTATACAAAATGTTAAAAAGTAACTAGGGAGGAACCCGAGCGGAACGAGGGTGAGTCGCTAGTCCTTTATATAATTTTATTAAAAAATTCTTAATAAAATAAAAATAAATATCTAAAATATTCATAAATAATATTCAAGGCAATATTTTTTTCAACTAACAATATTAAGTTTTCGTCTGAAGAAAAAATTATTTTTTCTTTATTAAAGCTGATCTAATTTATTTCTATATTCACTGTATATTATCATTTATCAGACAGCCTGTTTCGTCCTTAGACGTTATGGAGGCCACTGTATGATTTGAACTGGATTATATTAAATACAATGCTAGTACCGACAGCGTAAAAACATGTTTTTCATATAATAATATTAACATTTCTAATGCTATATTTTTTTGTGTTTCCGTTCTTTATTTTTACCTTGAACTCTTTATTTTTTAAAGTATGAATGATTGATGAGAGATGAAATGAGATGAGATGAGTTGAAATATTAATAAAGTATTGTTAGAATAAAAATTACAAAACATCTACAAAAATAATATCTATGTATCTCAATTAAAGATATATACATATATCGATATATGGTATTAAATAGTATAATATATTATCAAAACGAACGATAAAACGAAATAAACTCTCTTATATTTTCTCTTTGGTTTATCATCTGCTTTGAAGATACCGATTTATTAGCAATAAGGTTATCTATTGTGCCAAATCTCTTTGTATTAGTTTTTGTGTTTAATCAATATATGGGCTTGATGAACATAACAATAAGATATAATATACATATATCTGCATCGTTAATACATACATTTATGTGAAACATTTATGTGAAACCTGTAACTTTATAGTTATAAATGCTAATTCCAATTCTTTTATCTTTAATATTTTTATGTTGACCGTACAAACAGATTGAATCCTCAGAAGCGAGATAAGCGAAATAGTAGCAACTAGGTCCAGATTAATGTTTGCAAAGCGAAATTATACAGACAGAAATGCAAACAGATCGTGACTCTAATGAGATTTAGTGAACAAAGTTTTGTCCAATAATATATATATCAGAAACTAGTTCGTATATCCTTAAGTAATATTAAGTGGTCAACAGTCTTGTCTGTTTGTTTGTGTGCTCAGCCCTCCTAAACTGCGCAAAGGCATTTGATACGGTACACTTTAAATAAACAAAATATTAGTTTAAAATATTATGTATAATATGTTTTTTGTAATTAAATCCAGCCAGAATAAAGGGAGGACAGCTTCGTAGCATATAACATTTACTTCTACATATTTAATCAAGCAATGATTAATCGAAGATTGCTTAATATATTGAGACTAACCAGAAAGAATGTATTTATAATATACAAAAAAAATATGTGTGTGTACTTATGTACGCAAGTCCCTGTTTGTAAAAGTAATGCAGCTAACTTCATTGTCGCTTTTTGGCTGTCGGTGTAAAAATTTTACTTTCATATTTTTTTCCAAACGTGCCAAAACAAGTATAACTTCAATAACAAATATAAAGATGCTACAATATGTATTATTACAAAAAAAACGTGAATATTTTAGTAAAATGACACAATATAAAGAATTTTTAATCCAATGTGGATAATAATACTATATTATAATAAATAATACGTCAAAAGCAAGTAATTTGTAGCATCGTAGAAGGTTGCGTTGTTATTAGCCTACGGTCTAAAATATTTTCTACACCAGCACCTTTATTAATATTTCATAAATTGTAAATGTGGAAGGTTATTTTTTACCTGTGCTTACATTAGGTCAAATAGGTCCTCATACAAAAGGGAATAAAAGTTTACGTAAATATAATATAAATACTGGAATTTTAATTGGTGCATAGATTTTATACAGCGTGATCATAACTTAATGTTAAATGTCATGAAGCACTGTAAATTCATTTAAAATATTATAAGCTATATCAAATTCTATATACACAGGCACACTGATACACAGGTACATTGGCACACAGACACACAGTCACACCACAGACATACATACACACACAACACATTTCGCATTTATAATGTTACGAGTATATCGAATCCATACTTAATATTATAAATGTGAAAGTTTGTTTGTCTTTCTTTCACGTCAAAACGGCTTGGCGGATAGGCGTGATTTTTTGTGTGCAGATAGTGGAGGGCTGGAGAGTGACATAGGCCACATCTTACCGCGGGACATTATCTCTATCCCACGGGAAAACACGTTGTAATACAATCCAAAAAAATATTTATGATCCGAATTATTTGAAATTTGGTATTAATACTCTTCGATACGATTAATTAAATACGTGTTTTAGCATTTTTCGAAATTCATCTCATAAGGGCGTAAAATAGCGGACGAAAGTTTGTATGAAACTTATCTTTTTAGAGTTTTTTTTTGTAGTTTTAGCGCGAGCGAAGCCGCGGGTTCTGCTAGTTAAGATATTATTTGAAGAAATTGAACAACAAGAACTCATTTAATCTCTCAAACATCAATGAAACCGATTTTTTCTAGTATCCGAAGCAGTTTATTACAGATTCAATTTATTTCGTCTTATCATGGAAAAATCGTAGCACACATCATTCATGTCAAAATATGAAATATAGCGAAACGTTAAGTAAAAGGTATGGATGAAAGCGAAAATTGCTATATGAAATATTTACTATGTTCTCTATTCTGAATGTATACAACATACATATTTCAACTGGTAACCGATTTTTGAACGAATTTAAAAAAGAGGTAGTCAATTCGTCTGTATGTTTTTGTGACTATATCACTCGAGATCTACGTCAATTGTGGATCGATTTTCATATTTGTTTTTATTTCAATGAATGAATCTTGAGATATGTATGTATGTACATATATTTAGCCCTTTTTAACGTCCCACTGCTGGGCACGGGCCTCCCTTCACCGAAAGACAAGTAAGTGGTAATCATGTTAAAAATAATTCGCACATGAAAATATCAGAGGTGCGAGACCCAAGATTTGAACCCGCTTCACTCGGTTTCCCAAGCGAGCGCGTTACCACTAGGCTACCACTGTCTTCTTGAGATATAACCTGTTCATTAAAAAAATAATTAGACGTCCATATAAATATTAAAAAAATAATCCACTCCTCACGAGACTAAGGTAATAATTATTACGAAAAGAGAATAATTAAGTACGTAAAAAAAAGATAATTCAATTCTCCTTATAGAAAAACGAAGGTTGCGTAGTCAAAAATATGCGGGAAATAACTTTTTTTTAAACAACTTAAAATGTGTCAGTAATTTGACAGATAATGAGAGAGAGAATAATAAATATATATAATATAATATAATAAAAAAATAATAAGAATAAAATAAAACGTCCAGGCAGATCCCGGATAGGACGCTAGTTTCAAATAAACAACTTTTATTATACCATCCATTAATAAAAGCAGAAGTGCTCTAAAGCAGCAAATATCTGTAATATAAAATGTAAAGTAAAATGTTTGTTTCAACACTTACCCTGCAAAAGCTCGTGAACGGCGTAATCTGCAAACAAACAAATAAAAATTAAACTTTCACCGTATTTAAGTTTGTTGGCTGGAAATGTACTTTGGAATTTCTGAATTCTAAACAAAAAACAGATTATCTCAATTAATAGGTATGCCTTAGTCTTACTGAAAGCTTTGAGAATTAAAATAATAATATTATTATTTACAGTACAAATATCCTAAAAATATCTAAATGGCTTTAATGACTTATAATAATCGAAATTTGTCTAATATTGTAAAGTTACGCTTCACTTCTCATATTTTCTAGAAAGAATTCCGTCTATAAAGATAAAATCTTTATTTTTAAGATGATTTTAAATGTTATTATTTAAAAAGTACCTATTAATCTATACATATTATAATAAAATTCTAACTGAGTCGAATCTGTACATTAAAGTAGTTTTTGGAAAATTTTATTGTAATAGTCATTATTATCGATACAGAGACCCAATCTATAGTTTTTAGAATTTTTGTCTGTTTATCTGTGACCGCATCACGAGAAACCCACTGGACAGATTTTGATATTATTTGGTATGCTGATTATCCGGGTGAACGTATAGAAAATACTTTTTACTCCGAGAAAATATCCCATATTCGAGAAATCTATAATAACCGTTAGAACGTACCTAGGGACGAAGTTCTCTGAGTCTCTAGTTAAATATAAAATATATCACTTTTATATCTCTTAAAATAAAAACAAGTATCGATATAGTCGATGCAAAATTTAATTCAATTCAGGTACGATCTTTTTGGGATAATCTACCTTTTAATAAGTGAAATAATTTACGGAACCACTCCTTAAACTTCGAACTTTATCTCTTATATAAAAAAAAAACATTATACAATTTCTTTAAATGGTATAGGATTCGACGACAAGAGAAAGTAAGTAGAAATGAAAAACTAATAGAACAAATCCCACTATAACAACATTAAAGCTCTTAAATAATTATAAATTAAAAATTAAAAAACCCTTACGCAAATTAATTATCATGTAAAGATTACACTGGCACGCACTTAATCGAGTAACCATACGCCAAAATGCCTTACATTATTTTGGAATAGAGCTGATACTCTTACACTGCTGGATCGATATTAACCAAACATAGCTAAGAACCACCGCAAGGAAACTGGCTTTCAAATGAAAAAACCGCATCGAAATCGGTCCACCCATTTGAGAGCTACGATGCCACAGACCGACACACTCACACACAGAGAGACATACAGACATCGACGTCAAACTTATGACATCTCTCTTTTTGCGTCGGGGGTTAAAAAAAGAGCTTAAATAAATAATAATGTACATTTCTATCTATTGTAGTAACGATATGGGGGTATGAGATATTGATTGAAGCGGAACGCGGTGAAAAGAACGAAGCGTATAACTGCCTAAATAAATGATTTCAACGTACTACGCCTTTTCAACTCTTCGTAAGCTTTACTAACTCACTCTACATAGTTCGTGAACTATTTTAAATACAATGAATATGGTGATTTTTAATTGAAAGCTCTCTAAATATTATTAAAAGCTTATTTTAAAGTATTTTGAAGCTGACGAATAAATATTTTCTGTCCGTATGTTATTTAGTCCGTATTATTATTGTGAATGTGAACGTAAATCTGCCTGTTGCTTAAAACGCTGAACAGATTTCGATAAAATTAAAGCAAGGATATAAATTGCATCCCGGGGGATAGGCTACTTTTAATCCCCGTCCAACTTATCAGGCAAGCGAAGCCGCCGGCAAAAAATAGTAGTAGATATGTAAGAACGACGACTTAACGTGCTCTTCGAGGCACGGGGTGAACACCGCCAATTTCCCAACCTTGGACTGTTACTGAGACTTTTTTAACAGAAAGACTCAACTCAATAACTAAACTTGGTTCGAACTGGGATTTGAACCCAGGACCTCCGGATGTATATGATGATAGCCACTACACCACCGAGGCAGTAAATAGGTAATATTAGAGATAATTAATAATAACAGTAAAAGGTATTAAAAAGTAATAACATTTAAATATACTTGTCATTCTACACGGTACAGTAAACAAATAAGCATTTTATTGCACTCTTATAGTTTCCTCGTAGCTACTCTGTTTCATATTAATGACTTCCAAGAATCCCTTTCAATGTATTTTATGCAAAGAGTTGCTTTACCTATAACGAGTTTTAAACCTATTAAGTAAAAGTAAAAATATTATGTTATATTGGGTTTTGAAATTTTTTCTGACGATTTTAAATAATTTATACATAATAATATAATAATAGCAACACTAAATAATATTAGTAATTAATAAAGTTTTAAAATAATGTAATATTTATAATAATAACAGCTAAAATTAAATAAATAATATTGCCATATTTAATTATAATACTTTTTAAATTTTTAAAATATTTAGAAATAAAAATTAACAAATATTGTAAGGTACTTTAGTGCCTTTATTGAATGCATAGGCACTGCCTGTAACATGTACATGTGTTTGAGACGTCTATAACCTTAGTCTCTCCTGTGATCAAGATTGCTGTAAAGCATTCGAAACGTCTGGAACCAAAAATCTAAATAAATCCGCGAAATATTCCGAAAAGATAGTTTTATTTAAAATGTCAAATATTCGCGTAAATCTGCAATTTATAGTCTAGGTCCTAGAGTGTCATTAAGAAATAAGTTTCAAGAAATAAATATATTGACTGTTGCTTCTCAGTAAGTGTACGAAAATGTTATGTATGTCCGTAAAAAAATACACGAATTTTCCAAGAAGTGTGACATGCATAACATTAATACTAGGAGCAAACACAAACTTGTAATGCCTGTCACTCGTCTACACAGAGTCAGTAATTCTTTTTATGGACAATGTATACGCTTGTACAACAGGATCCCAGAAAATGTTCAAAAGGCTTCTATCGCCAAATTAAAAAAAAATGTTAAAGAACGTTTGTGTGCTAAAGGCTATTATACAATAAATGATTTTATAGAAGATGGCACACCTTGGGAATGAAATGATCGCCTCCAGACTACTTCAACTTGATAGAAATATTGTAAATTATAATTTTACTTTAAAAAAAAGATAACAAGTCAATATTAGTCCCGCTGAGTTTCTTTCGCCAGTTCTTCTCAGGTCTGAGGCTTCTTCTTTCCGAACTGGTAGTAGACTCATGACGTTTAGTAAAAAATTGTAATAATTTAATGCTGAATAAAATATTTTGATTTTGATTTTTTGATTTATAGATAAAATACAATCAAAGTTATCAAACAAGCAAAAAATATTGGCCCCCTAAGAGCACGGCACATCTAAGGGCTGCTCCTGAATATTTTATGACAGAGAAACCTTGTAATTTTTTTACGAACCCGGAGAATGAACTCTGGACCTCACTACTTGCAGACGTACCTCAAATCTCTTTTAAATAAAACTATCTTTTCGGATGTTTTCGCGGATTTATTTTGAATTTTGATTTCTGACGTTTCCAATTTCTTACAGCAATCATGATCACGAGAGATATCTACATTTAAGAAAGTTTTAAAGTAATAAAGTGAATTAAGTTGATCAAAAGTTAGATGAAAATATAACTAAATAAAATTTAAAAAAATTTAGAAGATCGATAGTCACCTCTTGGATTCTCCTCCTAACGGTTAGTTTATGCCATTGATGATCATCGAAGCGGGTTTTTGAAGGCTTTATGTGCATCTCCTGCTTTCCATTACCAAGACCCATTGTGAGAGAAAGACCCCCATCCCTTACTGCTAAGTTCAGGTAATCAGCTTCGTGGCCTGTTAGTAAAAAATAATTGTACATATTTGTAAAAATTTGAAACGTGATGTAAAATTATAGACTAATACATATGATAATCTTTTTATTCATTAGAAATATGTAAATTATATAGAGTCGAAAATGTTGTAACTTTTAATGCAAAATCAAAAACTCATCTACCTTATGAGTGAATTTTTAATTATTATTATCTAAATTAGTAAAAAATATAGTTATTTTTAATCTTTTCTTATTTTTTGTTTCCTTCTTTCGCATTTTCCGTTTACATTGAAATACAGTGCAAATGTCAAAATACATGTATACTGACAAAATTTATCCTAAGCGAAAATCGAACCCGCGATTCAAGTCAACTAGCAGCGGTTAAATAATGAATTGTCCATATCTACAATGACCAGTGTAAAAGAGGAGTCCATTTGGTTGTCGCGTCTTGAAATATAGGGAGATGGCGTCCTGCGTACTGACGATAGGTTCTCCACCAGTTTGAGTCAAGTCGTACGAGAGGAACTCAGCGCCTCGGAAAGTTGCTTCTGATGGTGCCTTATCTGAAACAATAATTTATTCACTTCAAAATCATCTAAAAATTGTTTTTTTGCCTTAATGGTATTATTTTCTTTACGTATGATTAAGGTAAAGCCATTTTATAAAAACAAATAGAAAATAACAAAATTAGCGAATATTTCGCGTTAAATCATAAGTACACAAAAAACATACGCGTACACCCAAAATAAGTACCTAAATCTTTTTTTTAAAGCTAGACCAGTCTTTAAAGAAATTTAAACTATACAACTAGATTTTAACATACGCCTACTATATATTACTATGTTTTGTATATTATCATATTATATATACATATATCTATATTATATAACATGGGTGTTTGTATTAATCTGTAACCGCCATATATCGCTCCTTAATGTATCGAAAGCTTTAAAGAAAAATTAAATAATAATAATAGATTCATAGAACCACACCATACAAAAGCCGTTAATTTTCAATTAGCTAATAAATAACATTTATTTCATTAAGACTTATATATTTTCATTATTCAATAGTAACAGGTAATAAAAGAATTCTTTCCCGTTTGAACTAATAGAAGAAAGTACTTCGCGCTGACTTTATGCAGTTTTAATCGGCTTTAAGCTACCTGACACCTGAAAGAAGTGGAACTGATTAATGGTTCCAAGTTTCTAATGTCCTGTTCAATTTTGCCAAAGACTTGAACAAACTTTATTATGGAAGAATCTATTAATTTTAAATATACCCTTGTGAAAAAAAATAATTTTTAATTCAAATACAATAAATATTATAGCCATAATAAAATAAATAAATATGTTGGTACATTAACACACAGCACCATCTAGTTCCATGGTAAGCTACGAGGCTTGTGTTATGGATACCAGATAGTTGATACAACACACATGTATAACTTTAAATACATACATATTATAAATATAAACACCCATGACTGGAGTACAAACATTCATGTTCATTACACAAATGAATGCACCCAGCGAGTTCAAACCCGCGACCGCTGGCACAGCAAATAGGATCACTACAATCTGAGCCAAACCGAATGAATTATTATGGCTCTAATATTTATTCTATCAAAATAAGAAAAAAAAACACATTTCCGCTTATTAACTCACCGATGTTACGACAAATCATTCATTCCTCTTTTCTCCTTTTTCATTACATTTTTCTTATTACTTAATTAATTTAATTTACTAATACCAACCTAACTTACTATAACTCCTGGTCCAAGCGGTTTATACCGGGCGTTATCTATGAGTCAGTGTTATAGTTTTACTATAGACTCACCCTCGCACCGCCCGGGTTCATCCCTTAGTATGTTTTAACGGTTAGTATTTCTCAGAGATAAGAAATTTTGCCGCAGTAAAAAGTATCCTATATGTTGACCTGGATAACCAGCTATCATCAAGCCAAATTTCATCAAAATCTGTCCTATAGTTTTCTCGTGATGCGATCACAGACAGACAGATAAACAGACAAAAATTCTAAAAACTATAGATTCGGTCTCAGTAATATTGACTATTTCAATAAGATTTTCCAAAAAATATTCATTGTACAGATTCGACTCAGAATTTTATTTTATCTATAGGTAGATAGCTATGTTTTATTTAAATTGTTATAATAATCGTGTTACGAACTTAAGAGAAACATACCAACAGACATATACTGCACAGTACAATTAATAAAAAGTCTATATAATAAATATTTATAGTTAGCATAAGACACAAAATTGTGTAAAAAAAACATCATTTTTCCTGTCCACTTCAATAGAACTCTTTATGATCACTTTGCACTATCTAAAGGTGTGTGGGATATTGATTTAATATTTCACTTGTGTAACTTCGTTTGTAATTTTAAACGAGGCTCGTATGAAAGTCCTTGCATTAAACAACTTAGTGATTGCAGTTTGTGCACTCGAAGTTTCGCCACAACGCGAGTCGCGACGGAACAACTCCACTAATTGGATATAGCTCTATTGTTTCTCTACTCATTTGTTTCATCAACTTTATCACTTTACTTAATATTGATAATTAATTTAAGAGCCCCATATTACTAATAACTTACACATATACATTACATACTTTAATGAATTGGTTTTATTTTATAAGTTTTATCAAAAAGGGACAATCTTTTTTTGAGTATTTACCATTGGTTTGGCATAACATAGTTTGAAGCTAGAGCTTGACCCCAAGTAGATTATGTCCTAGACATGCATGCGGCTCAGAAAAGTGTGAGACGGCGAGCAATGATTTGTAACAAATAACCTGCATACATATTTTATATTAATATATGTAGTTATAAATTATTTTAATTCAATTAATTACGATATGCCTGATACTACGAGTATAACGTAACTTTGAAGTTTATGATCAGTTCTTAAGATATACGTAGGAATAAATATAAGAAAAGTTTTCTGTGAAATTTGCCTGAAATACGAGTATAAGTAACTAGCGGCTCACCCTCGTTTCGCTCGTGTTCGCTTCTAGTAAAACAAAAATCTATCTCACGGGAACTATACATTTTCCGGTACATGTGTTATTCTAATGTATCAGCTATATTACTATAAAGTTTCATTAAAATCCATTCAGTAGTTTTTGCGTGACAGAGTAGCAAATATCCTACTATACATTCAGACATTCAGATATTCTCAAAAAATTTCGCATTTATAACATTAATAGGATAATTCGCCTTCTTAGCCTCCCACTGCTAAGAACGCTGACAAAATGTGATTTAGCGGACTACACATAAGTCATTCAAAAACTAAATAGGTTTTCCTAAATATGCAGGTTTCCTCTATTTTCCTTTGTCTTAAAACAAATTGTGCCTAGTGATTTTAAAATTTTGGAAATTGTGGCCAATCTCATAATTATAAGACTCGGAGTTTTAACTGCCTTTCAAGTGACTACATTAAACTAGGCTATCAATACAAGTGCTGAAAAACTAAACAATAAATAAACCTAAAACTAATAAAGATGCTACAGAAATTTTTCAGAGCCAAATTAACGATAAGCGGTCACAGATAGACAGACAGGCAAAAACTCTAAAAACTATAAATTCGGCCTTTGTATTGATAATAATGTGTATTTAAATAAGATTTTTTTTTTAAGATTATTGGGTCACTTATTATTCGCGCATCGAGTATGACATCACTTTGAAGTTAGTCGTGCGCGGGTTTTACAATTTATTTAACTTGAAGGAATCAATTCATTATTTCAGAAGTTAGTTGTAAGTTCCTAAAAACAGTACAAAATTAGGGTTTTGACTATGTCTATTCTTAAAAAAGGGAAATATTTTAAGTACCACTGGCAAATATGCCAGTGAAGTCCATATGTTCTATTTACATTTCACTGTACATAATAAATGATCGATTTATTGTTCAACTAGCGTCTCACCCTCGGATTCGTCCCTACCTTACTTCCCAATACTAACTTTCATCCCCATTTTCGCCCCTTTTAGGTATAATGTCCAGGATAAAAAGTATCCTATGTCCTTCGCAGGGTCTCAAACAATCTTCTTACCAAATTTCATCTAAATCGATTCAGTAGATCCAGAGATTACCCCCAACAACGTCATAAAGTCACAATCTTTCAAACTCACAAACTTTACCTCTTTATAATATTAGTATAGATATACTTAATACTAAATTATTTTTAGATCTATCTATACTGAATAGATAATGGTCTATAAGTTTTTCTAAAAGGTATTAACAAAAGATCCCTCCTAAAACAGACTCTACCTACGCTCCACTTTTTCTTTAATCCTTTCTCAATGTTGATAGAGGCTTAGTTCAGTCGATTTGTTCCAAACAATCTGTCATTGTCCCACGCTTGAGGGAAACGATTCGATTTTAAACGGGGTGAATTATTAAAATACGTAATGGAGCAAGCTATAGCTATTAGTTTCGTAAGAATTTTAATTAACTATTTACATTTACTTAAAATAGTGACTAATCTATACTAATATTATAAAGAGGCAGAGTTTGTTTGTTTGAATGCTTTAATTTCAGGAATCCGATTTGATTTTTTTTGCATTAGATAACCCATTTATTGAGGAAGGCTATAGCCTATAGGTTATATATCATATAGTCTATCAAGTCCATTCTAACCGTCAAAACGTACTTATTTATTGCATATACATAAATATACTATTTGTGGTATATAAATAAAAATGTAATCAAATAAATAGATTTAATATTGTCATCATCGATAAAAAACCTATGGCGTGACAATGCTTAGATAAGATGTCTATCTACAATTGTTAAAGTAAAAAGTAAACAAAAAATATATGGGAATGACGTACTATGATTTAATCGTTATGTCAGATATAACGATTAAATCTTTCATTTCAATATAACATTTAAAATTTCTATTCCACAAGTAGATAGACATATTGCCTGAGCCCCCAATATTTCAGCGATAGCGTAATGAAGCAACAAACACTCCAAAACCGCATTTATAATATCTATAAATATATAGGCAAAGACAAAATAGTTCAGTACCTTTCTCTCCTCTATTTGTCGACCGATTTTGTTTACTTGTTTGATAGCTAATTACGAGCGTTACTGTTATCAATAAAAAAAGGTTTCATCAATTTATATATATATATATATATATATATATATATATATATATATATATATATATATATATATATATATATATACACATATATATAAATGACGATATTTTTTTTCTTCGCTCTCACCCCAAAATATCTCAGAAAATATCCCAACAAAGCTCCTGTTAAAAGCGGAGCTCAAAATTCCAATTCTAAGAGGTTCTCCATCGAATTTTAAGTTTTCCCATACAAATTACATGGTTAAATTGGATTTTAATATTTTCTTGTCCTGCAAACTGTGACGAAAATATTTTTCGAAAAAATGAATGAATTGACTTTTTTTAGTATTAAATTTACTACAAAAAGATCCATTGAGTCGAATTTCTATCTTCAATATTTGATTTGTTATATACTCGTAGCTTTAAAGTTCAAATTTATGGTTATTTGCATTGCT